TACGTGTCGGCGAAGTCGTTCGACCTCATGTCGTACACCGCCCTCGTCCGCGGCAACCGGGCGGAGCAGTTCTGGGCGGCGGTCAACGCCTTCAAGCAGCCGAAGAGTCGGCAGATCGTCCTCTCGACGGTGCCGGTAAGTACACGCCCTCCTCATCCATTCCTCGCTCACAATACTTCGTAGGCGGTGTCGAAGGACAGCACCGAGGTGTTCATGCTCCCGCCTGGCGAGCCGTGGCACGCCGGATCGGAGATCCCCCGCCCCGCCCGCGAGGCTGCCGCCATCAAGGCGAAGTCGGTCTTCAGCCGCAACTGGGGGCTCGTCATCGTGGACGAGATCCACGAGATGCGCAAGCCGAATGCGGCCTTCCGCGCGGTGCGGAATCTTCGGGAGCACGCGGGCTCCATGGTAGGACTGTCGGCGACGCCGACGATCACCAGCGCGATGGTAAGTCCCACTCTCCGGATTGTAACCAAGCTCACCGTCGCTGCACAGGACCTCGTCTCCATCGGTCGCCTGATGGGCCTCCCCCGATTCGGCGACGAGTACAAGGAGGAGCTCGCCGGTCACGGACGGCTCCTGACGCGCGCGCAGACCAAGGACCGGGCGGAGCGGCGCGACAACAGGACCCTCCGGCGCGTCACCGCCGCCAAGGAGAGCAAGGACGGGGAGCCGTCGACGTGGAGCTCGGCCACGGCGGCGGAGACCATCACCATCATGGCCGACTACCGGAAGCGGTGGGCGGCATGGTCATCCGTCGGACGGTGACGTCCACGGACTGGCAGGGGAACGTTGTCAGTGGCTTGCCGCCCTGCAACGACATCTCCATCATGCTCCGGCTCGCCCCGTACGAGCGCAAGGTGTCCAGTCGATCCAGGCTGAGGTCGGCCAGGACGCGAAGGGGAAAAAGGCCGCGGTGACGGACAAGGTGAGCAAATAACTACTTGCTCGAGATGGGGTCGGTGCGCCGAAGGCCACCCCGCGCGGGGCTGCTGAGAGGTCCGGTTGGAACACCGTAACCTCTCCTCAGTGCCCTCGTCGAGTGCGCCGTTGGCGCACCGCAGCGCAGGGTGCGCTTGCCAGCCACCCATGCGCCACCTCGGGCGGTTCGCTGGCGTACAGCTGCAGTGAGCCAACGGCGCACCCCTCGCGGAGGCGCGGGTCTCACAGGCCGGCGCTGCCGCGGTGCGCCAATGGCTCACTGCCCGCCAGTGGATCAGTCCTGTGTGGCACCCGCGGACCCCTCGCGCCGCGGTGCGCCAATGGCTCACTGGACGGCCGTGCCTTCTCACGGCCACTGTCGTGATTTTCCTTCCCCCTCGCGCGGGTGCGCCGATGGCGCACCTGTCGCCAGTCTTTCAGTGGCTGACAATTTTCACTCACAGAACTTCTACGTGGACATTCGCCGGACGATGTTCCACTTCTCGATGGCCCGGCACCCCCCGCCCGACGCGAAGATTCCGGCACGCGCGAGGACTTCGAGGCCATCCCGACGGCCAAGCTCATGGCCCTCGTCGACCTGCTCGAGAACCACAGCAAGCCGAAGGCCCCCCCGATGCGGAACGACCCGGAGCTCGATGGCGTCCCCCTCTCCAAGCTCCCCGAGTTCCCGGACTCCAACCGCCTGGTCCCCGACGAGGACTACGTGTACGTCTCGTACTCGGGGACGAGCCGGACAAGATCGTCATCTATTCGACGTTCCCGTCGAATAACATCGTGCTCGAGAACGTAAGTTTTCTTTTTGTAATCCTTCAATCCTTTTCTCACCCGTCTTAGTTGTTCGCGGCCTACGGCTTCAAGCCGTCTTCATCCACGGCTCGCTGTCCGCCAAGCAGCGCGCTGAAGAGGTCGAGAAGTTCCGGAAATCGACTTGGGGTGGCAAAACCATCCTGGTCATGTCTGGCGTCGGCGCGACGGGGCTCAACATCGCGTGGGCCAACGTCATCATCTTCCTGGTGCGTTGTCTCTTCCTTTCTCATCCTTCTCTCATCCGGTGCCAGGACACCACGTGGTCGGCGCAGTCCGACGAGCAGGCGATCGGGCGGATCCACCGCTTCGGGCAGATGCGCGACGTCTTCGTCTACCGCATCGTCGTCACCGAGTCGGTGGACGTCGCCCTCAACAACATCGCCTGGGACAAGGGCGTGATGCACATCGCGTTCATCACCCCGGGCTTGACCTCGGTAAGTACCATGTAATTCTTTTGAAATCCACTCTGACTCGTCATTCAGCGAGCTCGAGGCAGCGGATGCTCGGCGCGGCGGTCCTCGACCTGCTCGACTTGGAGGCCGCCGAGGACAACGAGTACGTCAAGTCCGACGTCGAGGAGGAGGACGAGGAGGAGGAGGACGAGGACGACGAGCCGGCCCCGAAGCGCAAGGGCAAGGGCAAGGGAGGGCGGTCGAGAAAAAGACTCCCGCCCCCAAGAAGCCCTCCAAGAAGGCCGCCGGCGAGGGCTCTGCGCCGAAGAAGGCGTCCAAGAAGACGCCGGCGAAGGCTCTGCGCCGAAGAAGGCGAGCAAGTCCACGGCCGACCAGGAGGCGTCGACCTCGAAGCAGCCCGCGGCGGAGTCGACGGACGCGGCGCCCAAGCGCCCTCGCCCCAAGCCGAGGATGAGGAAGGCGGTCCCCGAGCCCACCCCTGAGGTCTCCCCTCAGCCTGAGGAGACGGCTGCCCCCGCCCCCAAGACCTCGCGCAAGAAGGGGCCGAAGTCGCGCGCCCTCATCTCGGACAGCGACGAGGACACTCCGGCAGTCCAGGCGCCGGCCTCCCGCCTCGAGGAGACTGCCCCCGCCGCCGAGGAGACTGCCCCCGCCGCTGAGGACCCTGCCACGGCTCAGGCCCCTCAGCCCTCCTCCGAGTCGAGCGCAGCCCCCGCCCCCATCCCGGACACGTCCGCGGCCGGCGAGAACCCGTCGACTCCATGGACGTCGACCCCCAGGTCCCCGCGCCGCCGCCCCCGCCTTCGTCGATCCCGCCGCCGCTCCCGCCTTCGTCGATCCCGCCCCCGGTCCCCGCCTCGCCCTTCGCCCCCCGCCGCCCGTGGTGTCACGCCACACAACACCAATCGCACCTGTACTCTCTCCTCACAGTGCGCGTGACACCCCCGGCCAGCTGGATCCCTCGCTGTGGTTCCGCTCGCCGACGCGCTCGCCGACTCGCCCCCCTGCCGTCCCTCCGACCATCGCCGCGGTGTCGTCCCAGCTGGGCTCGACTTCGCTCTCCCGTGCCCCGTCCGCCCCGCCCTTCGTCGACGACATGAACGTCGACGACATGATCGTCGACCAGGAGCCCGTCGTGCCCGAGGTCCCGGAGGCTGGCCCGTCCGACTTGCGCGGTCGTTCGACGAGCTCGCGCTCTGAGTCGACTCGGCCGTCGTCTCCGCTGTCGTCGGCCTCGTCGGCGTCCCCGACCCCCCGCAAGCCGAAGCGCGCTCGCGAGCCCAGCAGCAGCCCGCCCAAACCTGACGCAGCCCCGCGTCGCTCGAATCGGAAGGCCGCCCCGGTGAATCGGTTGCAGGCGGGCCCGGCGGGACGCGAGGAGCGTACTCCTGGTGCCGGCGCCGCGGATGCTCGCCAGAAGAAGCGGTCGAAGAAGTGAGCTCGTCGTCCTGTCGCGTGGCCGCGTTTTTTAGTATCATCTCATGTACAATGTAATGACTGTTATGACGAATTGTATTGCTTGTATGACTGACTTGAGTAAGACTGAGACTAAGAATGAGAACACTACGAATAAGAGGACTACGAATAAGAAGAGGGTGGCCGCAACGCTAAGTCCGTCAGTCGAAGGCACCTTCGTGAGGAACGGGCAGGGACTGGTGAGCCGACGGCGCACCCGCGCGGGAGGGAGCCTGCATGACCGCCCCGCCACGCTGCAGTGCGCCGTCGGCGCACCCCGAGGAGGCGGCGAGCGGGGTGCACTCGGCCCGCCCTGTCCGCCGCAGCCGGCTCGCGGGGCCGGTGTGAGCAGGTCGTCACCGCTAGTGCGCCATCGGCGCACCCCTCCGCGGTGACTCTCATGCTCACACCGGCCCCGTGTTCGCCTGGCTTTTGGCGGCCAGTGGCGACCCTGTGCACCCCGCTCGCCGCCTCCTCGGGGTGCGCCGACGGCGCACTGCAGCGTGGCGGGGCGGTCATGCGGGCTCCCTCCCGCGCGGGTGCGCCGTCGGCTCACCAGTCCCTGCCCGTCCGTGCCGTGGCTGCTCAACCACTTCTGGACTTGTCGCCGCGTCCACCCTCTTCTTATTCCCATTTGCTCTCCCCTCTCTCGTTCGTCCACCGTGACGCGCGTCCACGTGCTCAAAGTCCAGGCGCTAAACGGAATTAGCGCCCATTAGGGTTAGGGCTTGTGGCGAACCTAGCCGTCCAGGTTGCTTGTTTTCGTCTCATAACCTAAGCCTTCAGTTGCGCCGTGCTCCATTTCTTCGGCTTCGGGGCTTCGTCAGTGAAGATCTCATTGTCATGTACTCGAGAGTGCAGTTCCTTGGCGGCAGCCGGAGTGTTGTCAGCGGTCTTCGCGATGAGCGCGTATTGAGTCACAGTGAACTGTTGGAGATCGTATATACCGACCATAGCGATGCGAGCGACAGAGGGATCGATAACAGGCAGCGCGAGTCAAAGTGACACGCGCGTTGCGTGCGTCCGGCTGCATCCGTGACAACACGTGCGAGCCAGTCGTGACCGCACGTGCACAACGCGACGCGCGATCACGTTCGCCGGACGACTTGCTCACGTGTATCCGCATTCGCGCCACAGCGCGAGTGCGGGTAACAGCCCTACACCAATGTAGACCGTAATTTTACCCGCACTCGCGCCGTGGCGCGAGTGCGGGTAAGCGTACAGTTCACGTACAGTCTCGCGCGGATGAGTTGGACCCCATAGTACTAATCCAGTATTAAACACGATCTTGCTTAATCGGGCAGCGGTCTACCGCGCGGATCAGCTGATCGGCCTCGCGAGGCCTGCACTTCCCGCACATCTAATCATCACTCACCACAGAGCATGGAACCAAATGTGCCAGACGAGACGTCCGGTATGTAATGCACTCCTGTGTTGCGCGATCATGGATCTTATAATAGACGTAGGGCGCGGTACGGTCAACGCGTCTAGAGGCCCCAGCGCGACGGATGACTTCGTTGCAATTGTGAGAGGAACACCTTGATACTTGCCGATGTATTTTGCTGACCGTCGCACATGCCAGTTGACCGGTGACCTCCGGTGCGCATGCTGCAAGAAAGACAACCTCCAGCAGTGCAAGATACGCGCAAGGAGTGTAAGGTGTCAGTACTGCCAAGACACGCGCAAGCGGAAGTGTACCATAAGTGTGAGTTGGTCAACAATGACGCGTTCGCACCGGCCGACATCACATCGTTTCACTCGTAGAACTACATTCGCCTGGGCCTCATCACCGTGGCCGAAGATGGTACCGCGACGTACGCGCCAAATGAAGAAACCGAGAACATGGAGGTTCCGGCAGGCATGCGCAAGAAGTGGCTCAGCGTCCCCAAGAAAGCTCCACAGACCGGGAGGCGCGGATCCACGCACAAGGGAAAAGCCGTTGCGTCGCGGGCCCAACGCAGCTCGCGTGACGAGAGTGAGAGGTCTGACACGTCGCTGCGTGCGGGGCCCAGCCGCAAGCGCCGTCGGCGCACCTCTGATGCTACGTCTTTCGTACCGGTACGTCGATTTACACTCGCTACTTCCTCTCACTCACCTTCCGATTCAGTCCGATGCTTCGCGCTCGCCCGCGAGCGTTCGGCCCACCAGTAGCAATGAAAGTGTCGACGAGTTGGACGAGGATGCGGACGGGGGCACAGGTGCGGTAGGAGTCACCGCCACGGACGAGGACGAGATCGACGGTGAAGATGATAGTGCCGAGGATGACACGGAGGATAGCGAAGCGGAGAAAGAGGCAAATGATCGCGAGGTTAGGGCCGAGCCGGAGCTCACTCGCAAATGGCTCAGCAAGCCGCGAAGGAGCACGGGGATGGACCGGTACGAGCTCGCGGCTGAAGAAGCCAGTCTCGCGACAGACCGCAGCAAGCTCGCCTTGGAGATTGCGAAGGCCGGCGGGGACAATGCGCATTACGCCGCCAACAAGGTAGAGGCGGCGGAGCGCAGGGTCGCTGTTCTCGAGCGCAAGGTCGCAAAGCTCGAGAGCGACCTTGAGGACAGCAACCAGCGCACCGCGACGCTCGAGTCCCGCCTCGCGAAGCTCTCGAAGGACGTCAGGAAGATGCGGAAGTGACTTGTATTGAAAACGGTGCAACTACCCGCACTCGCGCCACGGCGCGAACGCGGGTAACACCATCGCATCCCTTCACATTGTCGTTACCCGCGTTCGCGCCGTGGCGCGAACGCGGGTAGATCGATTCACTCGTGACACTGCGCGTAACTACTGTAAATGTATTTGTTGACTGTGGGAGGTCGTAGTATCGCTCGCTAAAATGAATGAATTGACGTGATCGTACCTGCCGTTTGGAACCATCAAAATCCGTCGAGCTGCCGCAGATTTGTACCCGCACTCGCGCCACGGCGCGAGTGCGGGTAGCATGTTAATTATTCGCACGTCTCAGATCGTTGATCGAGTGCGCGTAGTTCGGTGGTCAGATAAATGAAACAATATGTGGGCATGCTCAAGAAGTGGTAGTACATGTGGTTTACATACATGCAGGATGCGATACACTATCCCGACCTTCCTACTCAATCATCTTCATCACCCCCGTACCGAGCACGTTTCTTCTTCGTCGCCTGAAGGGCACCCCGCAATCTCGCGACCTCGTTGATGAGCCGCGCGATCACCCCCTGATGGACGTTCAATCGTTCGGCCATAGGGAGATCCGATGATCGCTTGACATCGCGGATGATCGCATTGGTGTCGAGCTCGTTGAGTTTGCCTGTACCAGCATGAGTGTTCCGTTTCTCAATCAAAGAATGAACACTTACGTCTCGCGACACGATGGGCTCCAAAGCTCGAAGGCCCAGCACCCGCGTCAACACTGCTTGATGTTCCTGGCGACACAGGATCCACGTCCATCATCTGCGCCACTGAGACGGTCGATGGGCTTGCAGAAGAAGCGGGCGACTGCGACTGTGCAGATGCGATACGCCCAGCCGGCAGCGGGGATGATGAGTCGGATACAACGTTGGGCGGCGATGCGGGCGTCGAGCGAGTGACAGAACGCGAGGGCGAATGCGATGGAGAAGGCGCGGGCGAACGCGATGACGAGCGTGCACGTGGTAGAGAGTCGGGTGCGGAATTATTCTGCAGCACAGGTGCCAGGGACGCGCGCGGCGAGTCAACCGCCTCAGAGGCTCGTTGGTCCTGTAGCGAGTGAGCGCGTCACAGAGAAAGACAGAAATACAACATGACTTACCGTGAGCGAGCAGTTGACCTTCCTCCTCATACAGCGGTGACAGCACGTCTTCGCGAAGGGCACCCTACACTCATCTCGCCGTCATTCACACACCGCTTGCACCGCGCGGCCTCGACCAGCTTACAAGTCAGTAAGCATTGGCTGCGATTGAGATAAAAAGGAACCACGTACCACGTTGTCGAGCATTGGCGGCAGCGGGGAATGCTCCCTGGGGCTGCGATGCCTTCGTTGTTCTTCCCTTGCCGTGGCGCGCTCTGCGTCCGACACACGGCTGAAGTCGAAGTCGTTGGCCTCATGTGAGAGAGGCGGTCCACCTGGGATTGATCGAGCGACTGGTCAGTGCGGCTGGCCAATGGAGAGCGGTAAGCAACCGCTTACCGGACCTGACACGGTCGTTGCCTGCAGTCGAGCAGCTCGCGCGTGAGTCCATAGTCGCGCAACACATGAGGACTTACGGATCCACCACTGCTTCAAGAACAGCGCGAGAGACGCGCTCCTGGTCTCGCGCGAGCTGTCCTCTTCGAGGGTGACGTACGGTATGCGCCTCCACATGAAGTATTCCTCCATCGTGTTCGGGAAGTTGCCCTCTGCGGTCCGGTACTGCCATTGAAGCAGGTCGCGAGCACAAGGGGGAACTGGTCATATTGATTTGACTGTTTCAGCGACATGAGCCACGGGTCGGTCTGTCAACGTGTCGTTTAGCGCGGCGGTATCTCGCGGCAACACGAAAGCTTGACTTACCAGGATGTGGTGCTGGACGATGTACTGGAATGCGTCCCACGAGACAGCGCTGTTGAGCAACGACCGCAACAGGCGGTTGAGCGCCTTGAGTTGCTTAGCGGTCCATTCGCTGGGCTGCGGCGGTAAGTCCGTGAAAATGTACATGTTGTGCACGCGGCCAAAAGCCGCTTTCCGCGTGTTGTCCGTGAGGTCAGCGTGATTGATGGTGAATGCGCACTGAGCAAGCGCAAATTGTTGGAGGTCGTAGGTACCGACCATAGTGATGCGAGCAAGATTGACAGTGGGATTGGGCAGTGGAAACGGCAGCGGTGCGGACAGACCAGTCCACACGGCGCGCACGCGCTGCACGCCTGGTTGAAGCGATACACCACGTGCGAGAAGCGATGCTGGTGCTCACGTGTACTCTTACCCGCAATCGCGCCGTGGCGCAATTGCGGATAACATACTCGGAGTACCCTACCAGGGGCATCCTTTGAATTAAATTCCTTGATTGCCTGGCACTCTGCTTACTATACAAAATAATATTATACTTGCACCTACGTTTACGTCCCAGAAAACCTTGACACAAACAGTGCACTTACCCGCGTTCGCGGGTAAAGAGCATTCACAAGTACGTCTGAGAGTCTCTCAGAACAGTGCACAGTACCTGTGTTCGCGCCGTGGCGCAAGCGCGGGTAGACGATGAAAACAAGGACAGTGTGCCTATTCGCAATCGCGCGGATAGAAACACACAGGGCGCACCGATAGGGTGCCGCAATGATCATCGAGGCGTACCCAGTAATACGAGCAACAGCCCGGGCAGGTGGTTTGATGCACACTCTCGAGCGAGTCCTGTCGCGAGCAACCCGTCGGTATGGCGAATCATCCAGAACATCGGGAGGTGAGCTTGTCGTGTGTCTCGAAACAAGGACACTCTGCTGATGTATACTCGTCTGCCGCGTTATCAACTTGCGGGCGACCGTGTTTCGCACTCACAGAGGTCATCTTGCGTGCACGTACCTTACGCGCGCACAATCTCCGTGTCGGCTGTCTTCATGCGCAGGTACGCACATCACCCCAGGGTGCGGTGGGCTTGCTGGATGTAAAAGAGAGGGAGGCAGGAGGCAGGAGAGGCGGGAGATGGTGGTTGTGGGCAGGAGATCGTGTGAGCGCCCGTCGGTGGCTGAGCAGGTGGCTGACGTGATCTCGCCTGCCCTGTCACTGCACATCACTGACACACAACACGGAATGGACGCTGCATGCGGAGGGTGTAATGGATGATGTGGTACACCACAGATGCATGCCCTCTGTGGCACACGAGCAAGTCGGTGGGTGCCTGTGAGATCGGGCGGGCGCTCGGACTTGCCAAACAAGGCAATGGATGTGCGGACTCATCCGCAATCGCGCCATGGCGCGATTGCGGGTAAGGGTGACTGGCAGAAGGCAGTCGCAGACTCAAACGGAGACTGCATGTTACCCGCGTTCGCGTCATGACGCGAACGCGGGTAAGAGTACCTCGCATCCGCAGTCGCGCCATGGCGCGAACGCGGGTTAATGCACGCTGAGATTCATGCTGCGAGGGTGAGACGTTTAATGCTCAGAACGTGAAAATGCCTTCCTCACCCATCCTCACCCCATCCTCACCCTAAGGATTGGTCAAAAAGCCCCTATAATACCTACACCCTGGGCATTGTGTGCTTAGACAGGAGTTGGGGGATCATAAGACACATTTTAGGCCATGGGGCACCATGGGGACATTGAGTCGAATTGGGCCCACACAATATTCTTTCCAATTTGAACTTAATTAAATTAAGTAATCCAACTGGACCCTAAATAATAAACCATAAATAACGAAAATATGTTTCTAAGCCCTTCAAAGGGTCCTCTAAACAGTGAGGGTGTCAAAACCCCAGGGTCACTATTAAAATAACTGGCAGTAGGGGTTTCTAATATTGACCCATTATTGGCGCAGCACTAGTTGTAGGTCATTATTCTTTGGGCGTACACAAAGAAGGACCTTGAGCAGGTCATTGAAGACATGCCGAAGAAGTACCGCAAAATGATGAAAGGCTCGGGTCCCGAGTAAGTCCGGTGTACTGAATGGTGAAGACATGACTGATGACCTGGCTTCACAGCTGGGACCCGTACTTTGAGGCCATGACAAGCACCAGTCGCGTGTTCGGTGCTCGCTATGAGTGCATGATGCCCTTTGGGCTCATCGGTGAGTCTTCAACGTCTCACTGTCATGGTCTGCATCTGAAAGGGATGCCACAGACTACGTCACCAAGAGGGAGGCATACGACTTTGGCATCAACTGGGATGGCCTCATAGTTGAGCACGGCGGCCCCCCGGACGGCACCCCCAGGGCCCACTTCCACAATGTGAGTGTCTGTTTCTGTTTGTGTTCGTGCTCTCACACGCCAACCCATACAGGAGGGGTATGAGGAACAGTGGTTCTTCACCCTTCCAAAGAAGGAGTTGTGGGACGGGCTGCCGACCCCCCAAGAGGCCGCCGCAATGCCTTTTGTCGAGCGTACCCAGCTGCCAGTTGAGGACGGGGTGTACGTGGTGGCTCGCCATGCTAACGAGAGGCATGCCAGCTTGGATATTGCCCGCCACACTCCATTCAAGCAGGATTTGCGCAACCGTGGTGTGCGCAAGAGCTCAGAGCTCAGTGAGCCTGAGGAGGAGGGTGCTTGATGTCTTGATTTGATGTGTCTTCCTTCATTTTGTAATTGTAATACCAGTGTGATCTGCGCAAAACAATGTACTCATGGCTGTCTGACTGCGTGTCAGCATGAGCCGGCCGAACCTGAGCCGAACCTGTGCAAAGTACATGGGAGCACCATGGGTTTACCACTACGAGCTCTGTACCGCCCATGAGACACTGAAATATGCATCATATTGCATATTGGAGGTCGGCCGAACCCGACCCGAACCGAGCCGAACATGTTGGACTTGTGCCTCGGAACTCTGCCCTGCAATGCGGGAATGACCCACAGAGACCTGTATTGAGTGCTGGGCTTGGTGCAAACACCCAGCCGAACCAGCCGAACCCAGCCGAACACCAGTGCTGTACAGCGGGATTCAGCCTCAGGCACTCCATAGATGCTAACGCGAGTCAACAGCTTCACATGGAACTCACGCCGAACCTGACCCGAACCCTGACCGAACTTCACTGACACACATGCACCATGCTGCCAAGAACACCTAGAACACAACAGCCAAGTAATATAGGGGCATGGAGATGTATTGGACATGCACCCATAATCTGACCGAACCCACCCCCAGTGCCGAACCCACCCTGTGCAGTGCACAGACAGGTGGTAAAGGCCCTGTGTGTAGCCAGGGTTCATACATTAGAAGGCTCAGGATGGGGTGCAGCAGCCTGACCGAACCCACCGCAACAGCGCCGAACCCATGGTGAGCAATACAAACACACTCTATAGAGGCATTAGAACACTTATTATGACTACTGAGGGGGGCCGAACCATGCCCGAGGTTTGGCGCTTAACATGGGTTCGGGGCCCCAAGTTCGGCGGCGGCGTGCTCGAGAACGGTACCGCCAATGTCTTAGCTTTTTTGGCTATGGGCCCCCCTGGGGGGCATCTACGTCTGTGCAAAGTCTCAAGACCATAGGCCTTGACTAAAATTAGCAATCCCATTGCTAAATAGGTGTATAAATCTGACCGAACCCACCCCCAGTGCCGAACCCACCCTGTGCAGTGCACAGACAGGTGGTAAAGGCCTTGTGTGTAGCCAGGGTTCATACATTAGAAGGCTCAGGACAGGGTGCAGCAGGCTGACGGAACCCACCGCAAGAGTGCCGAACCCATGGTGAGCAATACAAACACACTCTATAGAGGCATTAGAACACTTATTATGACTACTGAGGGGGGCCGAACCATGCCCGAGGTTCGGCGCTTAACATGGGTTCGGGGCCCCAAGTTTGGCGGCGGTGTGCTCGAGAACGGTACCGCCAATGTCTTAGCTTTTTTGGCTATGGCCCCCCCTGGGGGGCATCTACGTCTGTGCAAAGTCTCAAGACCATAGGCCTTGACTAAAATTAGCAATCCCATTGCTAAATAGGTGTATAAGTGGTTTACATACATGCACGATGCGATACACTATCCCGACCTTCCTACTCAATCATCTTCATCACCCCCGTACCGAGCACGTTTCTTCTTCGTCGCCTGAAGGGCACCCCGCAATCTCGCGACCTCGTTGATGAGCCGCGCGATCACCCCCTGATGGACGTTCAATCGTTCGGCCATAGGGAGATCCGATGATCGCTTGACATCGCGGATGATCGCATTGGTGTCGAGCTCGTTGAGTTTGCCTGTACCAGCATGAGTGTTCCGTTTCTCAATCAAAGAATGAACACTTACGTCTCGCGACACGATGGGCTCCAAAGCTCGAAGGCCCAGCACCCGCGTCAACACTGCTTGATGTTCCTGGCGACACAGGATCCACGTCCATCATCTGCGCCACTGAGACGGTCGATGGGCTTGCAGAAGAAGCGGGCGACTGCGACTGTGCAGATGCGATACGCCCAGCCGGCAGCGGGGATGATGAGTCGGATACAACGTTGGGCGGCGATGCGGGCGTCGAGCGAGTGACAGAACGCGAGGGCGAATGCGATGGAGAAGGCGCGGGCGAACGCGATGACGAGCGTGCACGTGGTAGAGAGTCGGGTGCGGAATTATTCTGCAGCACAGGTGCCAGGGACGCGCGCGGCGAGTCAACCGCCTCAGAGGCTCGTTGGTCCTGTAGCGAGTGAGCGCGTCACAGAGAAAGACAGAAATACAACATGACTTACCGTGAGCGAGCAGTTGACCTTCCTCCTCATACAGCGGTGACAGCACGTCTTCGCGAAGGGCACCCTACACTCATCTCGCCCGTCATTCACACACCGCTTGCACCGCGCGGCCTCGACCAGCTTACAAGTCAGTAAGCATTGAGATAAAAAAGGAACCCACGTACCACGGTGTTTCGCACTCACAGAGGTCATCTTGCGTGCACCTACCTTACGCGCACACAATCTCCGTGTCGGCTGTCTTCATGCGCAGGTACGCACATCACCCCAGGGCGCGGTGGGCTTGCTGGATGTAAAAGAGAGGGAGACAGGAGGCAGGAGAGGCGGGAGATGGTGGTTGTGGGCAGGAGATCGTGTGAGCGCCCGTCAGTGGCTGAGCAGGTGGCTGATGTGATCTCGCCTCCCCTGTCACTGCACATCACTGACGCACAACATGGAATGGACGCCGCATGCGGAGGGTGTAATGGATGATGTGGTACACCACAGATGCATGCCCTCTGTGCACCAGGGCACACGAACAAGTCGGTGCCTCTGGGATCGGGCGGGCGCTCGGACTTGCCAAACAAGGCAATGGATGTGTGGACTCATCCGCAATCGCGCCATGGCGCGATTGCGGGTAAGGGTGACTGGCAGAAGGCAGTCGCAGACTCAAACGGAGACTGCATGTTACCCGCGTTCGCGTCATGACGCCAACGCGGGTAAGAGTACCTCGCATCCGCAGTCGCGCCATGGCGCGAACGCGGGTTATGCACGCTGAGATTCATGCTGCGAGGGTGAGACGTTTAATGCTCAGAACGTGAAAATGCCTTCCTCACCCATCCTCACCCCATCCTCACCCTAAGGATTGGTCAAAAAGCCCCTATAATCGGGCTTGTTGTGGTACTGTACAGGTAAACGTGACTAAACAATACCAAAGGGACCTGATGAGGCATATAAGCCGAAAGGGTCGCGCTGTGGATCCCCACTGCGCTCTTGTCCCTTGGCCTCTACCGCCACCTCCTCAGTCTAACGCCGCTTCGCGGCGTGTTCAGGCGATTAAACCACCTAACCCCTAACCAGAGTGGGCCCGTGGCAGTGTATTGGGGTGCAACGAGTCAGATGAACACACAGCCACCCCAAATGACTCAGCTTGTGGAGAATGACTAAGGGATGACTCAACACATGTAATTAGTATTAGATCAGCGTATTCCTCATGTATATAAGGACCTGCGAAGTGGCAGGGAGAGGCAAGCAAGTTACCCCCAGACAAAGCTCAGACAAGTCGTGTCGCTGCCAAGTCTGCGGTGTAGTGCAAGCCACTCCTAGCCTAGCAATAGAGTACAGTGAGCCCAAAGTCTAAGTGTGACTGTAAGCCTCTGTTGAGCTAAACTAGTGAAACTTGCTCGGTAAGCTGTGATCCATAATCAGTACTATCATTCTCGTCTAGTCACGTCCACGCCCTCGTCAAACCAGGTTGCTGATCAGCTCACGTATTCAGTCACATCACTTCACGTCCACGATATACTTCACGTCCACTGAGCAGTCAACCTACTTGTGGTAAGTAAGGAAACTGTTTCTACTAACTCACTTCACAGATAACAACCTACTTGAGTTCCCCCTCCACAACGAACAACTGTGATAGCCCGGTATTGTCCATACCCGGTGAACCGCAGCGGAAAACATTTCTGACCTGACAGCGCGAGTGCGGGTAAAGATACCGATTAAGATCAATGGATCCGGTCTATCGTTATTTACCCGCACTCGCGCCGGCGATGCGAGTGCGGGTAACGGTACATCAAATTGTACTACAACTACCCGCACTCGCGTCGCCGGCGCGAGTGCAGGTACTGTTCATGTAATTCTATTGTTATTTACCCGCACTTGCGTCGCCAGCGCGAGTGCGGGTAACATGTCACATAATTAGTGTGTTGTTACCCACATTGGCGCCATCAGCGCGAGTGCAGGTAAATGACTCATTCGTAAGCTTCTTTACCCGCACTCGTGCCGGCAGTGCGAAAGGGGGTAAAATACCCCTACAAAATGGGTATTCGGTAGTAAGTGCATGAGTGACACATGAATCATTGACGTAGCTATATTATTACTGTACTGTGTTAGTGTGTTGTGTAGAGTAATGATCCCTCTATTCACCCGCATCTGCGCTGTAGCGCGAGTGCGGGTAACAGTCTCGGACAGTGGTCGTTTACCCGCAATGGCACATGTAGCGCGAGTGCGGGTAAGGAAACAGGAAATTGTTGGGTGTTCCTCATGTGCAGAGGTCCAGTTTTTTGTGAAAACCTCGCCCTGACCCCGCCCTGACCCCGAACATTGGTCGAAAATCCCCTATAATCATAATAGACTCACAGACACGACCATAAATGAGAAACAGCGCGAAGACTAGAATCACGTGAGCTGTTTTAAATGTAAGAAACCCCATGTCAAAAAGTTACCTGGCGGCTACACTTTCTTACATACCGTTTGAAACCTTGTTCAAGTTTTATACAGAACACTAAATTGAACAATGAAATGACCTTGTAACATGGCACATGCCAGGTTTTCAATGGCAGAATGCCTAATATACTCACCCTCAATGTCGAGCTCACGAGATAACACAAGACAATGTCTTCGGAGTATGTGCAGTGTCGAGTAGGTAAGCACAGCAGGTAGAATACACCATTAGCAATAAACTCAATGAGAGACAGCAGTCAAAGTCCAGGTCCTACACTACTTAGATACCGAGACCGAGGAACGACTAGCAAACAAGTCCACTTATCCAAGCGATGCAAAGCATACTTATAGTATATACACACTCGAGATCAGTGCTATGATTCTGTTACACACGACGGCGGCAATGTCCGATCCAACTCACTACATGAATGGTCGCTTTCAACCCGCTGCTGCGAGAACACAGGATGCGCATCCCGATGTTCACCTGCATCTTGATCCTCCCCGACAACGCCGCTGCGCTGCGCGCCATCCAAATCTGCGGAGGTGAAACTCGTCATCCGCTCGTACCCCGGCCGTCGCGTCGGGGCCTGTGGCCTGAGGTGCAACCCGTAGTCAGCGAGGTCTTCCGAACGCGCAACCCCGCCGCCGGACGAAGGTGTCCGTGTATGCGCCAACAACGGCACTGCCAGTGACTCGTCGCTCTCCAGCCGTCGATGCGATGCTGCAGGAGAAGACGCGTCACCCGAGACCACGCTACCCCGACCACCCTCCGGCAACGGTAGGCCAGGCGAGCCGGGCGGGCTGTCGAGCCCAGCCCGCTGATACGCGTAAGGGGATCCTGAGGGCTTGGTTTGACTCATGCAGAACGAGTCCCACGACGCGACGCTAGCCCGCGCTGGGCCCTCGTCGTGCCTCCGCTCCCCAGTGCGTTCGGTCGCCCCGTTCGGCATCGAGGACAGGAAACCAAGTGCGTCCGCCTCGCCATAGTACGACGAGGCGTTACGGAGCGGTGTCGGCCTCCTCGGCGGCGACTTGCTACTGTCGGCCATACTGTACCTGTCCGTCATAGAACTGTGCCGTGCGAGGGTATATCGAACGTCCGGGAGGTCCTTGTTGTCGCTCTCGAAGTCGCCGGGCACGCGGCGCCACTTGCGCTTGTAGTACAACCAGCGGGCGACGAAGATGACCGCGCAGAGGACGAGGAAGCCGACGCAGCCGAGGAGGACGTCGATGCCGACGGAAAGCTTCTTCCCGTGAGTCCCCGAGCCTGAGCCCGTGGACGAGCCAGACGCGCCACCGCCAAGCCTGGTCTGGTTGAACTCCTTGATCGCCTGCGTGGCGTTCGTGAGCGCCATGAGGCCGAGCTGGGGGTTGGCCTGCTCGCCGGCGTGCTGGTAGGTGTCATCGCTCGAGAAGGTACCACCTTCGTCGGGGTTTTCGTAGGCCATGACCATGTACACGCTGCGCAGGAAAGGTACCCCGAGCACGACGTCGGGGACGTGGACGGAAGAGGTCATTTGCGCGGTGGACTGGATCATACCCATGCAGTACGATCCGGCGGTGGACGAGGAGGTCGAGAGATCGAGAGGATGGAGGGGGATCTGGGTGCGGTCGTCGAGAGTGATCGTCATGTTGATCGGGGTCGTGCAAGGGATGTAATCTACCCTGCGATTAGAACGACAGAAGGCAGAAGATCGACGATCTCCACTCACAAGTTCCGTCAGACGCAGCTGTCATCCCAAGGGCAGCATATATCCCGCTGGCTATAACCGGTGACGCCAGAATGACCGGCGTCCCCGAGTCGAGCACCGCAGTGGGATACGTCGCGCCCGACGTCGAGTCACCCAGGGCGATCACCTTCGCCTTGCCGTCAACCCAAACTGTAATATCCCGCACGCTCGTCGCCCAAAACTGGTCGTAGTTGTAGTTCGTGACGAGGTCGCGGTACTCGACCTTGCTCGGATCGGGCACGAGCTCTGATGGGTGGAGGCCGACGCCGAGAACGGAGGGGACGTCATTGAAGCCGGGACGTCCGAGAGACAGGGAGAGGAACGGCGCGGACGGCGCGCTGGCGGAGGATGTCATGCCGAAGAGATTGGCGGCGAGGGCGTTGCCTTCGTCATTGCCGATGCTGAGGTAGATGGACGAGTCGGCGGGGAGGGCGAGTCCGAGGATACCGCTGTAGAGGGGATCGAGCGGTTCGCCGTCTACGGACGAGACGGCGGCTGCATGGCGAGATGGTGTGGTCAAGGGCAAGACGGAAGACGAAGGGCAAGACGATAGGGCACAGGGATGAGGTGGGCAAACAATCAACTTATTGGACGCGATGCGCGGTCTAATTCTACGCACCTAGCGCCTGGTTTGTGATGTTGTATCCGCCGAGCGAGACGGCATCCCATACTATATCGCCGGATACTGAGCCTCGGAGGTAGGATAGCGCGAAGGAGTCGTCGGCGGCTGTAGCCGTAGAGGGGTCGTAGAGGTGGCCGCCAGTGCCGCTACATGGCGAGCTTGAGCAGGACGTAGACGCGATCCACTACAGTCAATCAGTATCGAACGAATAGGGGAATACAGAGATCACGCACCAAGTCAGCAGAACCGGTATCTACTTGGAGGGAGAGGTTTTGGCGGCCACCGCCGACGAGGACAGGGAGAGTATAGACACTACGAGTTTGTTCAGCTCATGGACCCGCGTACGAAACGCGCGCTCCGCTCGGCTTGCAGTTCCTACTCGCTCGCTTTTTGATGTCGATCGAGTGTTCGCAAACTTCAAAGCCAGGTGGCGCGACGTCGAGACGGAACACTCACGATTGATACATCGACTCGGTCAAGAGCTGTAACGGCAGCACGACGCCGTTGCTGCCTCCTGAGCCTTCTCTTTCAACGACCGTCTCCCGCTCCTTCCCCTTCCATGACGGAGTCTTCGTGCGCGACGTGGTAGCAACAGGGACGCGCATCGGGCAGTCGAAGTAGGCCTGTGAGTGTTGAAAAATGATATTGATGTTTGCGAGGTCGTCCGAGTCGTTGTCCGTTAGCGATGCAGCAAGTTATCAGAGGGGGATAGACTGAAAGAATGGCGTGAATTCGAAGAAGGAATGACGCGGGGCGAGGAGAGGAAGCAATAGATATAGGTTGTAGTGCGGTCAGAAGTAACCGCACCTGGGCGGCCCCAGCACGAACTGTCCATGGCCAGATCTCATCCGCGTTCTCGCTAACCGACAACCCGCACACTCACGCCCGGCTGGGCGTTACCTAATCCGTATGTCGTACTTTTCAACCTCCATCTCCGCGGCGCGCGCCTTCTCACGACAAGCGCACTCAGGTCGTTGCACTGCGCCACCGCAAAGTCTCGAATTCGACCCGTCGAAAGAACGACGCGAATGACACAACGCGCTCGAGAATACATAAGTCGACATACGCAGAAAGAGCACTCTGGTGCGGCTCGCCACAATGACCTTCGCGCCGACGGCACTCTTCCTTTCATTCAGAATTTCTGGGCGCGCTCTCGACGGCGTATGTTCCCCGTATTACAATACTCCGGATGTGCCCGCCTTTGCCGCATCGAGGCTAGCACCGGCATCCATACCTACGCCTTCAGTCTTCGTTTGACAGAAGCAGTGTAATAGCATCTCCGTCTCTCGTTGCTCTCGCGAACTGATGTGCTCTGCTGCAATCATCCCAGTCCGTCGCCGTAACGACATGGGAGTTCAAAACATGAATAGCATCCTGAGTAGGTCATTAGCGCGACGATAACGACTCCCTCAGGAGTTATACATACATGAAAACATACCTGGACCGTTGCGCGCAGCCACCGTCGCTCCGACAGCTTTCGGACCAGCTGAACAGGTCGGGATTCGAACGCCGCAATCTACCTCCTGATGAGTCGAGGGCTGAGGGCAAGCTGAGCGCACAGAGATGGGTTATCAGCAACGGATGGGCTCGCACGGGGTCTGTCTTGGCGGCTGGCGAGCGTCTGCCCTGTCATGTTGAACGGCACCGGCAACGCGCTCTCGGGGCGAGTCAGGTCTGGGGCCCAGGAACGACGAACCCCGAGGTCATTATGCGCGGGACGAGCAAGGCACGGTGCGGGTGAGCGTCGGCGACGATCGGGCTTGCGGATTATGCAAACGAACGGTCGGATCTGAGCGCATTGGGGACGTACGAAGGTAGACCGTTTGTCTTGAGCGCATGACGATGCGTGTTAGATACGAATGTCATGGGCGACACGCACGTCGTAAATGAATTTGTCGCCCTGTCGGACGGATCACGAGCGCCGCAACGCCCCGTATAGCGTAAAAGTCGGACTGCCACCTGAACGGGCGTGCGAGTCATCCTGCCGAGCAACACGACCTCGGTGCTCAACTTCAAGCGCGAGATGGGAACATACCTGGCACACGCAGACAATTCTTTCCCTCGGCAGCAATGCTGCGTTACCATTCCCCGTGCTGCACGCCTTCCGGATGTTTGTGAACGGACCGACAAGGGAAACGCACCATGATAGAGACGCGGGTGGTGATGTCTCGCACGTTTCGCTCTATGAGAGGGACCCGACGCGTCGTCGGATCGAATCTAAAGAATGAGTGACCACTGGCGTCCCCATGGGAGACGTAACACGCACGAGAGAGAGGTGAGTGCGGCTTCATCTTCCGTCTCGCTGTCTAACTTCCCGAGCTGTATGCGTAGCGTGGCCTGCGGCTGACAGTCCAGTATTGACGCGACGGTGAGAAACATACGACCTATCCGTGGCCGATGCAAACATTTGGAGGCAGGCGACTCGGAAGGACCCGATGTTAATATGTGTTGACGCGGGCAGCCAGCGGCCCAGCGTGGCGGCCCCCGGGACGAGGATTTGCAGCGATGAACGCAATGGCCAGGCCGCCTTCCGATGTGTCGTCGCTGTACGGGCCAGCTGTAATGGTGCGCAGAGGACCCGTCTGAGTCTGCTCGCCACGGACTTTGGGGAGGGGCAACGCCAGGACTTGTGTATCGAGACGAAGCGGCGGGGCAGCGGGCCGCTCCGAGCGGGTCGGAGGGGATCAAAATGGAGGACAAATTGGGACACACGGTCACGTTCCTCGCCCCGCACTCGGCCGCGGTGCGCCACAACTGGCAGCGCAAGCTCAAGGTTCGTGCGACTCGATGGGCCTCGCCTCTGGCCACGCGCATGCTCCCCGTCTTCGCGCGGCCCCTCTTCCTCCCCTTCCACATCCATCCCCTCTTTTCACCTCGCATCGCCCTCTCGGCTCTCGCTCGCATGGACACCGAAGCAGCATTCGAATCAGCACAGATTGGTGGTCGCGGCAGAGGTCGTGGAAGAGGAGGCTTCAGAGGTAGGGGCAGAGGAAGGCCGCGTGGGCGGGGCCGCGGTCGCGGTGCTGCGGCTGGGGCAGGCGAAGGTGGAACGAGTGAAGAGCCGTACGGAGAGGTCGAAACGACCGCGTCGATCGTCGAGATCATCGAGACGGAGGAGATTCCGATTACTGAAGAGGTTGAGGGCGGCGCAGCAGAGGAAGAGCCCGCTCAGGGTCAGCGCGGACGCGGAAGGCGCGGAGGACGACGCGGGTATCGGGGTTGGCGACGTGGAAGGGGCAGGGGCAGGGGCGCTGCACCTGCCGAAGACGGCCATACTCAGCCAGGCGAAGGTGAACAGGCCGAAGGGACGAGGGAGGCTCGCCCTCCTCGTACGAAGAGGGAACGACCTCCAAGGCCACACTTGACACACTGTGCGTACTTCTCTGCTCATCCTTCCCACCCTATGCTGAACGCAGCGCATACATGCAGTCATCTCTCTCCCAATCGTACGTTTGCCCGCATCTGTGCATCGTTAGTGACTGGCCTCACATTCGTATGCGACATAGGGCCACCACGCAGATCTCCAAAAGACCATTTCGTCCTTCACGGACGCTCTCCTGGCCGCAGATCCCGCCATTACCGGGCTCGACCCGAGCGTCGTCGTCCCTGCCCGTCGGCTGCACTTCACACTCGGCGTCATGTCTCTCCAGAAGAACGCGAATGGAGAACAATCGGGCGCAACTGCAGCCTCCGACGGTGCTGAGCAGAGTTCCCCCACGCAGAAGCCGACGCTGGCGAGCGCGATCGCCCATCTGGAGAGTCTGAAGCCGGACATCATAGAATTGCTTGCGGGACAGAAGCTGCATGTTGAGCTGGGTTTGATGGATATCATTAGGGGAGGAAAGGGAAGTTTCAATCGCGCTAACGTGATGTGGGTCGGACCACCTGAAGATGGCGAGTTCGCGGAGAAGTTGTGGACCGTCGCGCGTGCGTTGCTTGTCCCTGTATACGGACTGACTACTCGAGTTGCTGACCCACATCTTCCTCAGAATTCGTGAACAAGTCGTTTACATCGGCTGGTTTCGTAGTGGACGAGAACCGCCCGCTCAAGGTACGTCCGTCATAGACCATCTGATCGCCCTTCACCGACTCGTCCGACTTGCTCTCGTCCGATCCCAGCTCCACTGCACCATCGTCAACACGGCACATCGCAAACCGCGCCCCAAATACCGTACCTTCTTCTCCTTCACGTCCGTCCGCGCCTCCGACGCTCTCCGCGCGATCGCGCTCGACCCGGACTCGCTCACTGTCCCCGTCGCATCCACGGCCGACGGCGGCAGTGGCGACGCTGAGGTCGCGGCGGAAGTAGACGCGGCGGAGCCTGCCGTCGCGGAGGACACTACCAATGGGCACGGGGAGGCCAAGGGGAAGGGGAGGCCACCGGGCCAGGGCGCGAAGAAGCAGGAGCCTGTCCGCGTCGACCTAGGCGTTTGGGGCGTGGACGAGATACAGATCTGCGAGATGGGGAGCCACGGGCCTGAGGGGGAATATGTGTGCGTCGGGAAGATCGCGTTCGACTGAAGGGTGCCTCTACACAAGAGTGGATCTGGGTCTGCAAAACAGCGAAAGCGTGCGAAGGGGATCTGCGCGTTATGATGTCTTCGGTATGGAACGGCGAGCGAGCGATTAAAGTGTACAGTACGTGTTGTATCATGGCTTGAATGTATCGGTCCACTTCCTCGTCGTTGCCTTCGAGTACGGAACCCATGCCTCGCAGATGCGTCTCTGGCGAGCGGGCTAGGCCTCTCCATCCGGTGTACCCTTCCACGTCCGCAGCTCATCCTTTCAGACCGCACTTGGGCTTGTGGCTCGATGAGCGTGTGGATGATGTGGGACCGCGTGGTAGATTCGAGGCATCAAGCGCGGACTTCGGTCGCTCGCATGTACGTCCGTCACCTTGCTTGGTGTGGACACGCTCGCTGAAAGGTCGCACCTCAGCATGCATCGGCCGTCTTCTCGTCGAGTATTGAACGGGCATAGTCCTTACAGGATATGTTGGATATTGCCTCGTGGCGTCGAGGTACTTATTGCACCGGAGCTAGTCGTCACAGGAACGTACATCTTCTCTGAGGTTCGCATGACAGACCGCCATTCAAAGGTGCAACGAGACTTAGGACACTCACGCGTCAAATTCGACCAATGGATGGATGCACGGTGGGCGTCGAAGCGTCGGAAGGTCCTGTCAAGTCCACACTTACCGCGGGTTCGGTAGTCGACGTTATGTAGGGCATCCGCGGCTCCCACTGTCCTCTTTATGACGGCGTGTCAAGGGCCCGAGTCTCGGGGCGATAACTCGCCCCAACATTAGTCGCATACTCAAATTCTAGCACTTCCGGTGTATGGCTGCGTTGAGTTCCTTTCGACTTGTTGATGACCCGGAGATAACTCACGAGTGAACGCACCTCGCAGGCAACCTCTAGTGCTACGAATACTAAACGTTTGTGTGCGTAAGTCTCACACCACTGATCGGTGCGCAGTTTACGCAAGTATCCGAGGTGTTGGAAGAGCACAATAATGATATTCTAGGGTCCAAAACCGCGGCTTGAGCTCGTACGCTGTTCGTTATAAGCACCCGGTCCCCGAGATTGATACACGGTACGAACTCCAAAAACGGATGCCCTCCACATCGTTGAAATTGGTGCTGATGTATGCAATACAGGTGCGGATGCAGATAGCTCATAGATATCCCCTTCATACAACAGGTCGCGACGACTGTAACGATCCCGTTGCACGCGTCGTCACGGTAAGCTACAATACCTCCAGCTTAACTCGAGCTCGCGGTGAGCTTATGCGTCTGCGCTGCCCGAGTCGCAGCAGGAGTCCCATCCGTGGCGACATCCCCCACATCCCATCCCATCGTGCAAACTGAGAGCCGGTTGTTCATACAGCATTCCAGTCGACCGCGCGGAAGGTTAGTGTTCGTGATCAGATTACGCGACAAAAAGCACGGCCCACGGCCATCGATGGACACTCAGGGAGTCGAACCCTGGACCTTACGCAACTTTACTACTGACGTGTCGGACATGCGAAGCGTACGCGCTACCAACTGTGCCAAATGCCCGACGATTGTGGCTGCGCCGTGCATTTCCTGGGTCCGCGAGTGGTGCTGGCTCGTCCGAAAAGGGCAGTTATTACTATGTATAGACTGCGAATCGCAAGTGACGCGAATTTGGCAAGCAGCGTTCCCTTTCGAGAGTGGGTAAGGCATCCCCTGAAGCCGTCGCACGTACTCAAGAGCTGGTTCAGGTGAGCAGGCTCGCCTCACCAGCATTGATATATGATAGGTAACTCGTCTCTCCGGGCAATTGCAGCTAGGTCCATATCGTTGGGCCCCGCACAGAAAGTGCGCATAGGAGCGGGGGTCGTCGGACGTTGGTATTTGGCGATCCGGACACTGTGCCGCACGACCTGGGCCGCCTAGCCAAGGTCGCGGCTGCCTGGCTCAGCCTGGCCGTCAAATTCCGCTGCGCTCGGTGTGATCCCATATCAAACCCGCTGGACTCCGCCTATGTGCGTTTGAAAGGCGGGGGCCCAACGATATGGACCTAGCTGTGATCCTCTCACCATCACATCTGAAACGCGGACGCGCAGGCCCTAACACTGGCTCCGAATCGTGCCTCGCAATCTGGCCATTCGCAGCGCGAGCATGACCGTCGGCCACGTCAGGTATGATTTTTGACAGCCCTGAACAGAAGCGCGGGAACATGAATTCAGACCTTCAAAGGCATCTGTGAGTCCACACTTATCTCCCGAATGTGAACATTTGAACTTCACATACACGCCCCACTGTGAAATCATGACTGACGTCCGTTCAGTCCCCTTCAACTCCCGGCTTCAAACGGCAGGCGTGCGCATGGTCTCGGCGAGAGGCTGAAGCCTTGCAGGCGGTATCATTTGCGTTCGTTACCTGCCCACTCCGGGAGAAATCATCATTCAGTTATTTCGAACTGTATCACAGGAAACAAACATTTCGGTCGACGTTATGTTTCTTTTCCTGACCCAAGTTGACGACATAGCGTCCCAGCCGGTCCGCTTATATATAAGCATGGGCAGCGTCGCATGGATCACGTACTCAATCCCAGTGTACCGCCTTCATATGACGCTGAATTGAGCCTCGCTCCACTTGAAGCGGGACAAATTCATTACTGGCTGGCGACCGTCGCGCGCTCTGTCACTGGTCAACCGCATCGTCGAACATTTGCGGGCGTGGTGCCCCCTTTCCGGGTCGGTTCCTTGCGGTGTGGCCGTGAAGCACGCTTGTCTTCTACGCGGTCAATTCCAGGTCGGGACACTCGTTGACTTCAGAGTATCAGAAACGCACATACTTCGGGATCGCGTCTGCTGCGTCCTCCACGCACGTAGTCTTACTCGCACGGGCCCGGGGCGCGGGAGCACCACATCGCTCGTGTTGGGGTCCTCGAAAGATGCCGTCGATCTCGCTTCCGCCCAACGCTCGTCTCCACGTGGGCAACACTCTTCTATCGTGTGTACGTACTTATGAACCGCCGCGTCGCCCGTCTCTGCTTTTTAGTCTTTCTCCCCTGCCCCCTTCGCGGGTCTCAAGATCTCAAGTCAAGTTAGCAGCGTAGCCCGAAGAACATATTCAGTCGTATTCGGAATGTAGTGAGCATTTCATTCTACATTGGTATACCCAGCGACTCTACGGTGCGTCCTCCGACGCGACAGCCCTCCGTCCGAGTCTAACATCGGCTCAATGACCGCCTGCTACGCAAGGTCAATGACTCGGAGGAGCTCAGATTCTCGACATGCGTCCCTTCCCTCTGACAATATTTGGGCTGCTCAGCGATTGACCGTTGCGAAAAAGAAAGTCCACACGTCACGATGCCTGGCCTCTGGCTCTGGCGAGAAATGTAGCTACACCGCAGCTTGGCATGCTCGCGATGTTGCCCGTGTAGCCTCTGACCCATTCGTTTTCCGCGAGCCAGCGTCGCAGTTCTGAGCAACTCGCCGGCATAGCTGACGTCGTCGCCCAGGACATACGAGCGGCATTAAGGCGTACCGAATTGGGGTGCGATGTTAGAGTATAGCCTTCGCTCGCGAATCTGGAGGAATCGTGCCTCGACGGCCCGTTGGGTTGACTTCATCTCGTGCCGAGAGTGAAGTTTTCCATCGGTATGTGCCACGATGGCCTCACCCTGGGGAGCGTTGAGGCGGTTGAGGGGGCACCCTTGCGCGCGATCGCTGCCCCGAGCTTGTTGACTGAGAGCTGGGGTCTAACGTGAGAGAAGGGAGACCAAGGCATCTCCATCAATCTTTTCGAGGTAAGTACGAGGACCAGACACGCATGGGGCTTGCAGCACTTCGCATTGAAAGGTGGGCGCAATCAATGTCCCCATGGGGCTCAACAGGAAACTTCCGGAAGAGATCCGACCTGACGGAGCGGACAGAATGTTATGGCTTACATACTAGATGAGTCGACGGGCATGGGGCGGTGCGGGATTCGGAGCACATGCGGTGAGCACATGAGACCACAATTGTGTATGCAGCGCGAGGATGACGACGCAGGTATGTCTCGAGAGCACGACATCCTGCCCCACAGACGCGTAAGGTGGATCTGCGGGGACGGGTTGCCGCCTCTGACAGTGGATGCGTATACACTCGTGGACGCTCGACGGCATGGGTCCGGCGTCGGGCTAATGGTAAAGGCACACGGAACGCAAGAATAGCGACCCAGTCAGTGGGACTGAACGATGGGCTGGAGTGTAGTACCGAGACCCAAGGCTTCTGGAGGCACCGGGACCGACGGTGCGGCAAACGACCAAGGTACTTACACCCGCCAATTCCCGGTGTTCATTAAGCGTTCGGTGCCTGTGCACACGATAGCCTTCGTCAACAAGTTACAAGATGCCGGCGTTCTGGTATGCTGGCAGAGCACGACGCAATGCTTGCCACAATGCTAGGCACACGTCTTCTCCTGAGCCAAGGACGTGAATGGATGGTAAGTGCCTGGATCCTGTGCAGACTTTACTCCCGCCTTGCTCCACATGAAATGCATTCGAGGCGGTAAGATAGCAAGGTTTGAAAGGTGCCCAGACATCGGGTGAAAGTGACCGCCAGTCCGGCGGCTCGTACGTCCCCGGGGCATAGAAAATCGTTGTTTGGGAGATGTGTCGACAAAGCCTGGCCGCGAGTAGGGTCGTGCGGCGCGGGCGGATCGTTTGCAAAGTTGAGTAAGAGATCGAGGAGCGGGTGGCGGAGGCGGGCGAGGCGGGAGCGGGCCGCCACCAGCCACGATCGGATCTGGCTTGGGACGAGGGAAGCATATGGGCGCATGGGCGCCTGGCTGATAGCAGCGGTGCGCTCCTCGTCCTCGTCCCCTGCTCCATGTGGCCCGCTGGTTCCTGGAGTTATCATGTCGACTTGCCTCATTTTCGCCGTGCCTTGGCCACATCTGCCCAGTCTTACCCCGCTCGCTTCTCATCCTTATAAGCTCGCAGGTCATGTTATCGTGGGCCGAGGAACCCGGCTCTTCTCTCGACGCCCTCGTCGCCATCATCCCCCGCCACCCTGGTTGGGTCGTGATCCAACATGGCCACAGTCGAGCGCAAGCTGTCCGACTCCTCTATGTCCGACGAGAAGTCCATCGCCAACGAGAAGGGTCCTCTCGACCTTCCCGTCCTCGATGCCGGCGTGGATGTCGACCCCAACGCCGTTGGCGATGTGCGTTTCATGATCTTCTGTCACCGTATGCACCGTTGACTGTGCACCAGGTATCGGAGGACGTCCGTGCAATCGACCTCGACGAGTCCGGCAAGGAGCGTCCCATCGAGACAGGCGAGGACTATGCCCTCCGTCTTGTCTCTCTCGACGATGATCCCACCTTGCCCATCCTGACCTTCCGCACCTGGTTCCTCGGTCTCGGCCTTGCCTGCTTCGCCGCTGTCCTCGGCGAACTCTTCGTACGTTACCTTTTCTCAAGCAGCCTCATGTAATGAGCCTTGACGACCGCGCAACAGTACTTCCGTCCCCAGACCGTCCAGGTATCCGGCCTCTTCCTCCAGGTCCTCGCCTTCATCCTCGGTCGCGGACTCGAGGCCGTACTCCCTGGGCCCAACCACGCCGTCGACAAGATGCGCACCCCCGACAATCGCTTCTGGCGCTTCATCAACCCCGGAGGCTTCAGTGCGTCTTTTGCCCTATCCCATCCACTGCTACTCACGTGTCCCGTATCGCTGTCGTAGATATCAAGGAGCATGTCGCCATCAGCATCATGTCGGTGAGTGCTCGCGCGTGGTCTCATGCCATGCGCCATCGCAGACGCGCCTGCTGACCCCCACGCCAGACCACCGCCTCGGACCAGGCCATCGCCATCTCCGTCTTTGCCGCCCAAGACCTCTACTATAACGTCTCGGTCGGCCCCGCCATCGGCATCTTCACGTATGTCTTCGTCTCCTCTGCTTCCTCTCATGGCGATGCTGACGGGTCACCGACACAGGCTGATCGCGTCCCAGTTGATCGGATACGGTCTGACGGGGCTTGCGCGAGACTACCTGGTCTACCCGACATGGGCCGTCTATCCGTTCCTCATGCCCCAGGTCCAGCTCTTTGATGCCATGCACCGCGGCCAGGGCGCCTTCCTCCAGAAGAAGCGCCGCGTCTTCTTCTGGAGCGTCCTCATTGCCATCTTCGTCTGGGAGTGGTTCCCGGAGTACATCGCACCGTGCGTCCACAACTCTCTCGTTCCTCCCGGATGGTGTGCTGACGCGTGCGACTCGGTAGGACGCTCACGGGTATCTCGATCTTCTGCCTGGCGGATCGGAAGAGCCCCTGGGTCACTCGCATCTTTGGCGGCGCTGCCGGGAATGAGGGCCTGGGTCTCTTCGCCCTTTCGCTCGACTGGAATTACATCGGGTCTGGCGGCTCCGCGATCGGCTCACTGTTCACCCCTCTCGCGACGCAGCTCTCGATCTACTCTGGCGTCGTCGTCTGCATGTGAGTCTTTTCGTGTCTCTGATTCTCCACGCCCCCGCGTACTGACTGCCGCACGCAGCATTGCGTTCTGCGCCTGCTACGCGCGCAACGTGTGGCACGCCCAGAATTTCCCGTTCCTGTCGCAGCTGCTGTTCTACCAGAACGGCACAGAGTACGATCAGCTGTCGATCCTGAACGCCGATTTCACGCTCAACAACACCTTGCTCGAGGAGCAGGGCCTGCCCTACTACGCCGCCTCGCAGACGCTTTACCAGCTCTCGCGCACGGCGTACATCGGCAGTGAGTGTCGTCTCTCCCTTCGCGCCGTGCGATGTCTGACAACCCCGTTCGCGCACAGCCGCGGTGACGCACTTCTTCATCTGGCACTTCAAGGACGTCTGGGAGGTCGTGCGGAACGTGCGCACGCATGAGTGCCAGGACGTGCACTATCAGAAGATGAAGGTCTACAAGGAGGCCCCCTCTGGTGGTTCGGGGCCCTCTTCTGCGTCACGTTCGGAGTGGGCCTCGGCCTCTGCTACGCCGCGGACTCGGGCCTCCCCTGGTGGGGCTTCATCGTCGCGCTCATCTTCTCGGCTGCGTTCGTGCCGATCTTGGGCACGCTCTATGCGACGGTGGGGTACCAGCCGAGCTTGCAGTTCTTGATCCAGATGGTGGGCGGTGCGATGATCCCGGGCAAGCCCGTCGCGAACATGTTCTTCACGCTCTGTGAGTGCCCCTCTGCATTGGCGTGCTCTCACGGCTGACACGCAGACCAGACGGCTACCAGACGTACCAGCTGACGCTGAACATGCTGCGCGACCTCAAGCTCGGGCAGTACACGAAGCTTCCGCCGCGGGTGACGTTCCTGATGCAGACCATCGGCGGGATCGTCGGGGGCATCCTCAACTACGTGATCATGAAGTCCGTCATCGCCGGGAACCGCGAGATCCTGCTGGACGTGCAGGGCACGAACGTGTGGTCCGGGCAGCAGGTGCAGTCGTACAACTCGGCGGCGATCACGTGGGGCGCGCTCGCGAAGCCGCTGTACGCGCCGGGCGCGCGGTACGGGTTCATCCCGTGGATGCTGATCGCGGGGCTCGCGCTGCCGATCCCGTTCTACATCGCGCACCGGCTGTGGCCCAAGGCGGGGTTCAACTTCGTGTTCACGCCCGTCGTGATCGCGGAGCTCGGGTACCTGTCGGTGGGCATCAACTCGTCGTGGATGACGTCGCTCGCGGTCGCGGTGTTCTCGCAGTGGTACCTGCGCAAGTACCGCCCGCGCTGGTTCCGCAAGTACAACTTCCTGCTCTCGGCCGCGCTCGACGGCGGCACGCAGATCATGGTGTTCGTGTACTCGTTCGCCGTCGGCGGCGCGTCGGGCAAGGCGGTCCCGTTCCCGAACTGGGGGCTGAACCCGACGGGCAACCCCGACTACTGTATGCGGCTCGGGGATTAGTCCTTGCGAGGACGCGTTTGGTTTAGAGCCCCGTGTGGGTGCTGTTGTCCTTTTGGGTGCGGGCGCAGATGCTTGTAAGTAGTATACATATGTACGTCTACTGTACACAGTTACGATATAGAGTGGCAGCCAGTCGCGCTGCTGCTACGGTCGGGATACGTCGTTAATGTCGCTCGCATGTATGTAGCATACGCCTCGTCGATTCTATCCCCTCTGCTTTTCTCTGGTTAAGCAGACACGTGCGCTGGTCGTCGGAGGCCTCTTGGCCGGCTTCATTGTCCGGTGTGCGCATACTGCGATTCGCAAGCGGATACCCTTCACCTGACAGTCAGAACACGACATGGCGGACGCCTAGCGCGTAGACACGCGTTCGGCTCGGATCTTGTAAGCATGCATCTCGTGAAGTAGACTCGGACGTGCCTTCAAATCGCACCGAAGACGTAACGCAGCCTTCGAGAAGGGCTTGAGCACCCGGGGCGGGGCGTCTCTGTGGGGGTGCGGGGGGACACTGCGGACCGGACGCTTCGTGTCACACAGGCTTAGACTCGGATGCGCGTCTGGACTCGAGTGTCTTGCGGGACCCGGTATTCCCAATAGTCTATTTGGCGTTGGCGCCACGGATGCCTGCACGCAATGCGTGGCGCCAAGTGCGCCTGCCTTGCCTGCATGGGAGGTGGAAGCGTAAGTACTCACGTGTTCATCACTGCGGCTCGCAGCCATTTGACAGGTGGGGGCGCAACCCCACGGGTGCAAACTGCAATCGACCCTGCTGTCAGTCAGCCAGTCGAAGCGACCCAGACAGAACCAACGTACACGCCGGAGCCACCTCCTGAGTAAGTAACAGAAGAGACGGACATGTCGAACTGCAACTCAAAGCCGAGCAACGGGGTCGAGCTAGCCCGAGTAGAGACGTGCGACGCCCACAGCTCAGGAGCAAAATGAGGCCCCCACGGGTCTAAGCCGCATCTCGAAGCAAGATTAGCAACCCGCAGATGCAGATGACTCGCAGGCAGGTTCATAGAGATGCCATCCCCTCAGAGTTTCCGCGCGCTCGGGTCGATCCGACGGGAAGAGAGCGGGAAAGACGACTCTGGACTGTCGGGCGCCGGGAACTCATTCTGAATGGGCAAGTCTGGGGCTAGAGAACGGGGGCAGGTTATTAGGCACGCAGCCGCCGCGGCATGGACCGCTAGACCCTGACAGGCCATAATCAACTTTACACACCACCGAAGTGGCAAGTGAGAAAGCGCACCGCGGCGGCCTATGGCGAGGTTCTCGAGGCAGCGCACACCGCACACCGTAGCATGGGAGACGGATATCCTCGTGCAGTGATCCTGTTGCTTGTGACTGAAGATAGGGCAGAATGTCGGTCGACCGGAAGATATGCATTTTATTGATTCCGTACTATAGCATCACCACGACCCCGTACGCCGACTTCGCGCGTGTCATTAGTGATGAAAGCCTATCGTCACAGGGAGCAGACCCAATCGAAAACAGGGATCGAGCTTTGCTTACGGGATGCTGGCAGGATCCGTTAGGCATTGACGAGATAGAGGCTGCTTCGACCCGGCGCCCTTCTCAGGCTGGATCACGTTCGACGACACGCGCTACTCACAGAAGCGTCGAGGCCGTTGCGAATGACATCCTCAAGGCGCATAGAGTATCTCCTCTGCCTGCTGACCCGGATCGAGACCAGCGAAAACAACGACAGTAAGTATGCGCTTGGTATACGCACCAATACTTCATCGCCCGTGGATCATCGATCAGGTCCGGGAGGAAGCACCTCGAGTCCGACTGGCACGGAGCGCCGTCCTGCTGCCCAACAAGCTCGCGGGCACGCACGCTCGAGTTCAGAAGTCGTTAACGCCGTCACGGTTCCTCCAACAAGCCTATCAGCGGTCCGCCACGAGGCGTCGAGGGTACGCCCATCCATCCATACGAACTCACGTCCTCCAGCGGCGGAACCCCAGTGCACCTTTCCTAGTCTCTGAGACCGTCCGCGCGACGGCTGTGGACGCGTGTGCGATCGTCCGTGGCTCGGACGGGAGGATCGTCTGCCGCGCCGGTGTGCGCTCTCACCTATTGAGCACTTTCCGTGGCGGGCGAGAGCGTCTGGTCCGCCCTGGGCCGCGTATCGAGCGGGAGACGCAATGGCGTAGCTGTCAGACGTGCTGCCGTAACGGGGTGCGAGGATGCGGTTCGGGGCTCACCTCGGCCAGCCTATCCGGACCTCAGCAGGCCGCGCGCGTGTTCGTCTAGGCTCTATCAGTACGAGTGCTAGCTGGAAGGAGGACGAGGGCGTGAAGCGCTCGCCGGACCCGCGCGTACGCGAATGGGCACAGTTCGCACCGTGGCCCCTCCTGGCTCATATGCACCATGGAGCCGCTGGGAGGATCGATCGTGCACCGGCATGCGACGACTGGGCGGAAAGCTGGGAGGGCCGGGCCGGGACACTGCTGTATTGGAAGGCGAGCGGTGCAGTGATAGGCTCGTACGTACAGCCGCGTTGTTCTGCACACGGGGCAGCTTGTGTGCCTCGAGCCTGGACGCGTGAATACGAGGGTGATGGCGAAAAGTCGGCTAGGATGATCCCAGCGCTCAGGGAGACGTTCCCGCGTGTGCGTGCGCTAGAACGGGGCCGGATATGGAGGATCGTCGTTGAATGGGTGCTGCTAGCTGGTGCTGTGCCAACTTTGTTTTGTCGCGAGTTGGAATGGGGACGTCCGTTTGAGGACACTCGCTTGGAAGAGCGGGGGCTGCTCGTCCACGAATGGCTGCAATACCCAGCACTGGGCCCAGACGACAGCTGCGAAAGCGTTCACCCGGATCTAGCATTCTTGCCGAGGCGGTCAGCGCTGTCCTGCATGTCGAGATACGGAAAACGTGTTTCCTTTCCCGGGAGCCTTCAAACCTTCCCGTCCACCCCCGCCTTCCCTCCGAGTCGCACGGGTCAGCCCCCCACGCGTGCCTCGCCCTGCGCCTCCTGACACGCTGCGCGTTCATTCTGCAGTGTTTTCGATTCCGAACGCGGAATGCGTGAGGGCCAAACGAGAAACTCGACGGAGCGTCTTGAGAAGCACGACACGACACGACGCGGCGTCCTCAGAAGCACGCGCTACAGCTGACCATGCGCGCCATGACAGGACTGGAAGCCAGCCTTCCGGGCCGAGCGAGCAGGGACTTCGCGAGTGATAGACTCGCGCGCGCGTTTGCACGGCCTTCCCTGCGAGCCACGGCCGATCGCGACACGAGGCTCCCCGAAGTCTGGTGTGCCGTATACTGAGGCGGGCGGTTGGGTGCGACAGAGATGAGGCGGCGGTTGTCGGCGAGCAGAGGCATCTGTGTGTAGCTGGGAGCCTGGTGGCCGTGGGCTGCAGCAGACAAACGTGTCAGCCATGAGCGAGACCTGGGGGTTTGCGTCGCATATGGTATCAAGCAAAGTACTGTAATATAGAGCGCGCGGAAAAGCACAGACAGACCAGAGCAGCGCGGAGTAGCAAACGCGTAGGGCTGGCTTCTAGACGACAGCCCTGCTGGTAGCCGATATGCATCGCAACCCGACTGAAGCGAGACGAGGTTGCCGTGCAGTTGGTCTAGCTATATACGCCCGCGCACAGAAAGGGACCGCTCGTTACTTGTGACCGCCGACCTCCTGGGCAGGCTTCGATCGCACATAGCCCCTTCAGGACGGAGCGATCGCCCGTGTGTCCAGGCCACCGAGTGGACATCACCACACAGTGGCGGTCGCCGGCACGGACGAGATGCGGCTTCTGAGATGCAATGAATGCCCCCGCCATCCGCATAGCCATTCAATATTCAGATTCGAACCGCGCGATCCCCGGGCCCAGCTGTCACGTTTCGGCCTCGGAAATGGAACCCTCGCCTCTGTAACTTGGCAGCAGCCCGAATCACGGACATAGAAGGCGCAAAGGGCGAGCTCCGGCGGTGTGAGCCCCTGGCACGGTGTTGCCGGGAGGAGGTAGGACGGGCGACGCGGTGACAGTGACCCGACTCGGAATCGAAGGCGCGATCGACAGGCGACCACGACATGTACAGAGACCGGCCGGCGTGTTCCTTGTGGGTCCGAGATTCGCGGGATGGAGTGGCCGGGGTTGGAGACCGGATGGGTGGCTGGGTGCGGATCCGGGTCACACTGCCTCCGCCGCACGGACATACGCTACCGTATGCATATGGAAATTGTCGCTGTCCGAGGCCGTGACGGTGATCAAGCACTTACAGCGGCCTCGACGACGTCATTGTGGGTGCCAATGACGGGCCCGCGGGCGCGGTGGCATGATGCTGCGAGCACGGCGACCCGCGGGTTCGGATATGGGCTGCTGTAGCCTGTGGAACTGTGCGCGCGCTGCGGGGCCGTGCGGCTATGGATGTCCGACTCGGGTGGTGTGCAGGATGAGTGGCCAGGGGAGAGGGAGGGCCCAGCGTTCCTCATACAGAACGACCTCTATAAGTGGCGTACGCCTGTCAATGCGTGCCGTACCGCAGAGGGTCGATGGGTGGCAGAGAACCATGCGAGTCGACCGGGAGTGACAAGTGGGAGCGTCCGCCTGGCGTTCCGGATGGTCGGATAGGGAGTTCGAGGAAGGAGGAGCAGGGGAGCGGAAACGGCTCGCTGGAAGGGTTGGGTGGCTCCATGGGGCCCACGACTCACCCGAATACAGAGATGCTGGGATACTCCCGTGGGGTCCGGCGGCGTGTTGTCCCACAATGGCGCTATTTCCGTCGTCGCCGAGGTCGTCCAGGACGGCGGTGAGAGGGCGAGGGATATAGCGACGGGGACGGCAGTGACTGCGAGCGCGAGCACACGTCACCGGAAATGGCCTTCGGAGATCGATAAGATCTGGGATCGGGCGGACGTCGAAGAGCGCGGGGAAGCGCCCGGGACGGAGAGACAGGATCTAGATCGCGGTCGACGGCTCTGCGAGTGTCCATCCGCTCCCCCATTTATAAGCCCAGCCCTCCTCCTCCATTCGCCACCAGCTCTCGCCCTCCTCGCCGCACAAGCCCCGTCGTCCTCGCCTCGCCTCGCCGTCCACGCCCACCCGACCATGATCCGCTTCGACAACCTCCCGCCAGAGGTCATGCAGGCCATGTGCACGCCCATGCACCTCATCATCCCGCCCTCCGCCGCCCACCACACCGGCGCGCTCTACCTCGGCTCCTTCTCCGCCGTCCTCGACCAGCCCCTCCTCGACCAGCACCGCGTCTCCGCCCTCGTCCAGGTCCTCGACGCCCCCTGGGTCCCCGACCCCACCGCAGGCGGCACCCGCGCCATCGACTGCTACCGCCTCGACATCCTCGACAGCTCCTCCGCCGACATCCGCCCCCACCTCGAGCAGGCCGTCCGCTGGATCGACGACCGCCTCAGGAAGGGCGTCAACGTCCTCGTCCACTGTCAGCAGGTGCGTGTCTCGGCTCGGTGCGCGTGTCGCCGCGTGTACTTACGGCAGCGTGTTTCGGAGCGCAGGGCGTGAGCAGGAGCGCGGCCATCGTGATCGCGTACCTCATCTACACGCAGAACATGACCTACGACACCGCGTTCGACCTCGTCCGCCGCAAGCGCGCGTGCATCAAGCCCAACGGCGGCTTCGTCAGGTGCGTGTGCGCGCGTCTTCCTGGTCGTGTCTGGTCGCTCACGACGCCCCGTAGAGCACTGCAGGAATGGGAGAAGCGGTGGCGGAACGTCGGCGCAGATACTCGCCCGCCGATGCGCAGGGCCGCCACGACGCCGCGTTAGCACGGTCCCCCACACGCACCCCATACTCCCGCTGCTCCTCGGTCTCTCGCGCTGGCGCGTCTCCTCCTTGGTCTCGTCTCCTCCCTCTCGTCTGCTCCGCTCTACTCCCTGCTCCACAGTCTCGGCCTATACTCCACACAAAAGCACCACGGAACTTCACGCAAATGTACGAACGAACACTATACCGGACGGTCTCCATACACTACAGTCTGGCCAGGGTAATTGCCGTCTCAGTCTCCGCTCGATCGGTCCCGCCTCGTCTCGCTCTCGCCTGCATCCATGCATACGCGCACGCGCACATATACTCACCTACCCTACGTTCTGGCGTCCACGTCCACGTCCACGTCCACGTCCGTTCCCCCGTTCATGTCTGTCTGGTGCTCCTCTGCCTCTCACAGGGAAGTTGTACGAACCACGATGACCTCGCTTGCTCGCGTTGCGGACGCACATTCCACGTATCCCTCTACCTGTACCCTTATTCAGTTACTCTATGCTGTTTTGTTGTACGATACGACGTACCGGTATACTGCACTGTACAGCGATCTTACTGATCTGTTTATCTGGGTGCTGCTTTGGTCCGCCCCGTGAACGGCTTGCATGCACCTCACAGCGTCCGTCCGCGTCAGATCTTCAGCTGCGCTGCAGGTGGAGGCCCAGGGGCGAACGTGTTGTCAGAGTACATCAATGACGGCCGTCACCGGCACTGCTGCCAACCCCGACGTCGCCTGTCCAGCGCACAAACCCTCCGACGCGTCGATGCCGATGTGACACCCGCTTCCCGGTCCTCCCCACAAACCCTGCGCACTCCCAGACCGGCGGATGTGCATGCTTCCTCGATCGCGTTCATTGCTAGCTGCGGTGCCTGCCCCCATACTGCACGCCGATGGGCGAATCCGCGCCTATCGCAAACTCTACGCGTGAGTTTAATCCAGGTGCACTCTATCAGCGCGCGTCGCCGTGCGGCTCGATAAGGCGACTTCGTCGTACCGCGTCGAACCTCGTCGAACGCGAAGCTGAAGCGCGGCGTCAGAACCCGTCATACGTGCTGAACATGGCTCGTTTGAACGTTCGCGTCCACGCACGGTCCCGGGCACTTCATCTCCGTCTGGCAGGGAAGGAGAAGCTGGGCAGTTAGGCAAAGGTGAGTCCATATCCCTGGGGTCGTGGGCGCTGGACGCGTCGATTCTGCACCTGAGCGTCCCATCGACGGAGCTCTGTGTGGTCGCTGGGAATGTGTCCACGCACCGGACACGACGGATCGCGAAGTTCATTGAGCCAGGCACGCTGCGCCGGAGCGCGTCCGCGCGGACCGGAGGGCCTTTGATCGATGGCGGCGAAGGGACCTGTTCTGCGCCGGCTTGTATGGTCTGCAACGGAGACTACTTACTGCTGTTCGTCCTTGTCGAGTTGCGCTCCTTCGCTCTGCGTAACCCAACCTATTCGTATCGAACAGAAGCGGCGCGGAATCTGGCCATGGACACTGTAGGAGGATCACTCGTCATCCAAAACCAAGACCGGCGGACGCACGTTACTCGCTGCGGTCGACGCCCCCGAAACGAGTCGCCGTGCTACCAGCGTGGGATGGGGTGGTGGTCAGGTAGGGATCCGGACAGACGATGATCCGCGTCGTACCTCACTTCATTAGCAGCCCGGCGTGACCAGACAGGATCAGCACGGCACGGAACGGTCCCACGACTCGCAGGATTTCCCGGTATGATGTGGCTTCGACCATAGACTGCGCGTGTTCGTGTCCACTTGAACCCCGATGGTGTTCCGTCCACGGCGAAGCCACGATGGCAACGCTTAGTACACACTGTTAACGGAGACGGTCAGGTGCGTGTATGGACGGTGGCGGTGAACCACGCTCGAAGACTGGGGGTCCACGCGACCGCCGACAACCGTACGCGGCGGCAGCATGACATGACGGCGCACCCGCAAGCCGCAATACCAGAGACAAGGGTGGTCGGCGTACAATCGGTGCGGTTTGCCGGCGGTACGGCGGGCTGAACGCACAGGAGTGGTACCATCCGCATCCGTGCCCGAGTTCGCCGAAGTCAGTACTTGGCTATAGGGGGCTGTCAAACCTGTCTGTGTACCTGGCATGGCGAATGGCCATATCGCGACGTGCGAGTCGGTATGTAGGGCCTGCGAGCCGCGCATTCAGGTGTGCCAGAAGGTTAGAACGACGATGTTCCCGGAGAGCTGAGTTACCTATCACCGTTGGCAAGGCGAGCCTGCTCACCTGTACGTATACGGTCTCTCGAGTACGTGCGACATCTTCATGATCAGGGAATGCTTCACCGACTCTCGAAAGGCTCTGCTGCTTGCCACATTTGCGTCACCTGCCATCCGTGATCTGAGAATAGTATCATAACAGCTCTTCAAGAGCAAGGACCACTCACGGATCCATACAGAGCACGATGAGTCTAAATTTGTCGGGCATTTGGCACAGTTGGTAGCGCGTACGCTTCGCATGTCCCATCCGTCGAGTGTAAATGCGTAAGGTCCAGGGTTCAACCCCAGTCAAAACCGACACGAACTCAGGCGAATTCTACGGGTTTCTACTGAATATGTCAATAAATTCTATTCTCTTCGGATTGCTTCGATAAAATGGATTTCCTTCGGTCAAACGACGAAGCAATATGAGGCAGAATGAAGGAAAGCGAATTCCGTTCTACTCGACCGAATACACATTAATTCAACAGAATACATGCTTCGCCAGCGCGTTGGTCTGGACGAATATAATACACGATTTTCTACGATTTTCTGCTAGTGAACACGCCGCGTCCACCGACAGTATTTTGACGACACTTGAAGTGAACCGTAGTGAATCTGGATTGCGTGAGGTCGAGGGCATGTAGGAGTGAGACAGGGACTGTTCTGGCAGCTTGCGGTGCAAACGTTGCGATGTACGTTGTTTGCGATGTTGCGCATTTTGTGTGGACCAGGGCGGGCCTGCGCCGATTGGTACCTACAACCAGGTTAGATACGCTCGTCCGAACGACAGTGACACACAACACGTACGGTATACAATGCCGCTCACGCGCTCGGACCCGCCAAGCTATCTTGGAGGTGGGTTGTAGGTTCTTCAAGAACTTGCATCTCCTCGTCCTCTGGATCGGACTGGACCCCCGATGGTGTGGCTTCCATGGCTTTGCTTGCTGGCTCAACAGATTTCCCTGCCTTATTCTGAGCCCGTAGAGCCGCAGATTTTTGAGCATACATCTGTTGTAAGGTGTTAGTTTCGTACACGGTCACAGAAGCTCCAATGTACTACCTTTGTCTCACTGCGTGACAAGGCAGCGAACTTCATATCAAATTCGGCCTTCGTCAACTGTGCGCCCGGGTTATGGGCGAAAAGGTCCTGCATGTACAAGTTGCTACGATGTGTACCGCGCGGGCGTCAGTGCAAGGGCGTGAATTGTTTTGACAGACTTACCGAGCGGTGCAGCTGTTTGCACGCGGCTTCACGTAGTACTTCTTCTTATCAGCAGTAGGCTTCGGTTTACTACTACCAGTCGATGCCGGAGCTTTTATTTTCTGTGGCAAACATGTAAGGACTCGTTCAAAAGTATAAATGTTGCTCACCATGGCCGTGGCACCAGAGGAACTGGGCCGGGCAGCCCCGGGACTTGTGAATGCGACGGGAATTGCGGTCTTTGGGCGAGTTTTCCTGTACGGAAGGTCAGCGATGAAGCCCGATTGGGGTCACCAACTCACAGTGGGTTGATAAACGGCACTTGTTTCGACACATGGGGGGTGGGCGAGATGGCAGACGAGGCAGGTGAGACAGCAGACGAGGCAGGCAAGATGGCAGACGGGGCAAGCGGCATGGCAGGCGAGATGGCAGACGGCGTGAGAGACTCAGTGGACAGGGTGGGCGAGTCGGCAAGCGGGGCGGACGAGATGGCAGGCGGTGCGAGAGACGGAGCGTGAGAGACAGCGGATGGCAGCGTGAGAGAGACAGCAGACGGCGGCACGAGAGAGACAGCAGACGGCGGCACGAGAGAGACAGCAGACGCAGGCCATATAGGCATAAGTTTGTATAAGATCCTTGTAGTGAGCACGGAGTGATCATACATAAACTCCAGTACTTACCTGCAGCTGTTTTCATACATGAGCTGCCACTCGCTCATGTAAAAGCGAGGCGCCGTCATGTATGAACGAGGCGCCGTCGGTCGTTACCCGTTTTGGCAGCTACCCCGGGGCAGTCCGGCCCCTTCGTCCCCGGCGGGCGGTACCACTGGCGCGCGATGCGAGGATACCCCATATGGATGGACATCGGGGTCAGCGCATCTGAGATCAGGTACGATCTCGAATCCCCTGCGCCGCCGCCCTGCCCACTGTGTGGCGTCGATTTCGGCCAATCTCGGAAGCCTGCAACGAGCCGAGCGAGCGGCGAGCGGTTTCGCCCGCTGTTTGCGACCTCCACCATCCTGTGTGCCTGTCGGTCACTGACATCGTTACAGCATAGCGCGTACGACAACGAACGGACAACGGGACGGTCAGCATAGATCGGGCTTTGAAGTGAGTGCAAACGCACACGAGCAACGGAGCTGACTGTAGCCACAGGACGCGGCGATGCGCAGCACGACACGCGCGTCGACCGCGAGTACGCAGGGCTGATGCCTCGTGTGCAAACGCAACCGACGGGCGGACCACGGGTACGGGTGCGAGCGCGAGCGCGTGAGCAGGCGGGCGGGCAGGCGGATACGCGCGTGCGCTGCAGGCTGATGGACAGGTAAGCGGACGGGTGAGCACCCGGATAGGTAGGAGAATAGGCAGACGGGCAGGCAACAGCACATGCCCACCGCGAGCGCGCTGAGCAAATGCCCAGCACGCAGACGCAGCCGACAAACGCAGGCGCGCGAGCAGATGAACTTGAAGAGCAGGGGGCCGGACGGATGAGTGGGCGGGTGGACGAGCGGCGGGTGGACGAGCGGGCGGGCGGGCAGATGGACCACTCGGAGAGGGCGGGCGGGCGAGTGGACGAGTGGCAGGTGGACGAGCGGCGGGTGGATGAGCGGCGGGTGGACGAGCGGTGGGTGGACGAGCGGCGGGTGGACCAGTGGGTGAGCAGACAGATGCGTTGACAAGCAGACGAGCGGGTGGGTAGACGGACGAGCAGGTGAGCGGGAAACTGGGAGGGCGGACGGGCGAGAGGACAAGTGGGTGAGAGGGCGAGGGCGAGAGGGCAGGCGAGCATAGGGCGCGGACTAGCACCACACGCACGGCGACCGCGAGCGTGCAGGGCGAATGCCTAGCACGCAAGCACGGTCACTGAACGCAAGGTGGGCGCATGAGCGAGAAGTGGGTGACCGCGACGGTGGGCAGGGCCGGGGCGCACGCAAGACATAGAATAGATCCGTTCGTTTGCTTTGTTTAATTTGAAAACATCGTGTTTGTGGGCAATGTTGAAAGTTCAATGAACTGTAATGGCAGAATATAACCTATGTATACAATGAAACTGTTATCACCGAGTCCAGTATGTATCGCGCCGCAACACTCATTACGACTCGAGACTCGGCTGAACACCCATTACTAACGACTCGAGACTCGACTGAAAACCAGGACAGTACACTAAACATCCTTATTGAACACGAGAATGTTGTCCTACATCTCATCTGCTGTCGTAAATGCTACTAAACATGTATCTAATCCCCGTTCCAGCATACAATACATGCATACACGGTGCGGAAACGTCCCAATCACAAATCGCAGGTATGTTGCAGGCCTAAGTAGGACCGTTAAACGTGTTCTGATTGGCCAGGAACAGCCCGAGCACATCGGGGTTGCCCAATGCGGTGAGGCAACAAATAGGTACAAACGTTGAGTTTACGGGCGCCCGCAAGGCTCGCCTCACTTCCGCATGCTACTGTAACTCTACCGTCCGGCTTTCATGTTCAACGTTCAACTCTGTACGGAAGACAACGGTGGACACTCCGAGATGCATTCAGGAGTGAAACCAATCAGGTAAGCATGCCTGATTTGATTATCTATGCACACGCATTAATCTACTACCCACCTCAGACCGGCTTTCGTCAGAGCGTGTCGAATGGCACGTCAACCAGTATGAACGGCACGTCGGTGAGTGCGAACGGCGACACGTCAACCAGCACAAACAGTACGTCGGTGGGTACAAATGGCGGCGAGCGGGTACAGATGGCAGTGCGTCACCGAGTGCAAACTGCACTGTACCCGCTAACTCTTGCGAACAAGCCGTCGTCTGGCTGCCGACAGGGGTCGCGGTTTTTCTAGTTCACCCACAACTCGGGGATGCTGTATCAGGATCGAATGAAGGCCAGCAGTCGGTGTCGCGCCGGGATCAAAACCCCACGAGATCTCCAAATTGCCGGAGGCCGACCACATCAATGTGTACGTGTGTGCCTTGCCCACCATCCCGCTGAGTATCGCTAATGCTGTACCTGTTCTCTCTCCCGGCGTCTTCACGCTCCCCGTTTGTTGCGACGTCGCGCAGAAGCGTCGCCCGATTGACCAGTTGGCTATACCCATTAGCCGCGGGCTGGAGGAGCCCACGTTGATCAATGCGGGCGAGGCATGGGAGGCTGTGGGTGATAGATGGGATGACACGGCAGAGGATGAATCGCATGGGCGATGGGTGGGGAAGCACAGGTTGGATGGTCAGAGCAGGTCGGCGACAGACAGGAGGTGCAGTCGATGTTGCGTTGTATGGTGCCCAGTGACCTCGCCCGGCTGTTCACGTTCCAGAGTCAGCCATGTGTACTGTATTGTACACTGTCGATCAGTTGTGATCAGTGTATATCACGAGGTGTGACATACAGGGCATATGTCGTGGACCACGACACACAGGCTGTGCACTTTCAGACCTCGATACCTACTGGATGACCTATGCTACAAGGAAAACAGGTGCTGCGCCTAGCCCGAAAAGATATGTCATGGAGCCCAACATGTGCACTGTCCATATGCGAATTTGGATACACGCATCAATCAGGCACCGTAGTGAACCAACTGCTATATATGGCGCCGTGCGCAGCCCGAGAATGCGTGAGATCTTACTGATCACCCATCACGATCGCATTCGCCCGATGGGCCCGCGACGGCACCCATTTTGGGTAGCGCCGCCGCCGCGAGCTTTCCCCGGCGCCGGGGGTGACCTGGGTGGTCCATAAAGGGCAGCTGCCCTTTCGGGTAGCGAGTGGGGCGCCGGCTGTAGTGATTACTGCACCTTCATACTGAAGGCGGATTGTAAGTACTGGGATTTATGTATGACGTGTTTGTGCTAACAACAGGTATTCATACATGAGCATGCCAGCATCTGGTGGCAGACGGCGGTGCGAGAGAGACAGCAGGTGGGTGGAGAGAGACAGGCTGAGTAGATGGCACAAGCGAGACGGCAGACTCGGATGGTGCGAGTGAGACGGCAGACAGGGCAAGTGGGATGGTAGACGAGAGCGCAAGCGATGCGAGAGACTGAGTGGATGGGGCGGTCGAGTCAGCAGGTGGGGCAGACAACTCGGCGGGCAGGGTAGACGAGACGGCAGGCAATGTGAGAGAGATGGCAGATGGTGCGGGCGAGACGGCAGGTGGATCGAGAGAGATGGCAGACGGTGCGGGCGAGACAGCAGACGGTGCGAGAGAAACAGTGGCGGACGAGGCAAGGGCAATGGCAGACGAAGTGGGCGACTCGGAGGCATGACTAGGGCCTGACGTAGCAGATGCAGATTGATTCGTCGGCTGAGGAGAGGCGGAGATTCGCCAGTGTGCTTTGTCGAGTGAGTCAAGCTCAAGTTGATGACCAGGTTCATCCTTCAACAACGGTGATCGAGACCGACTGTGCTTGCCCGACGTGATTGTACGACTGCGGTACCACTGTGAGTATATTTCGGCTGCTATCTCGTCAACCTTCCAGTGGAGCATGCAAAAGCGTAGCTCGGGGAATTTGAATACATCGTGGCTCGATAGTAGTCGCCCTGTAGGTTGGTTCGCTGATTCCAGGTTGCTGGCGCGCAGTCGCCCTGGAGCCAGGCATTGAAGATGCGGCGAGCCTCTTGGCGGCTCGCCTTCGTTACATCACCGCTGACAGGTTCACCTTGGGCATTCTTGTGATATCGCGCATTCACATTTTCGCCCCTGGACGAGCGGCTTTGGCCGCGCTGACCTTGCTTCGAGTTGGGATTGCTCGTCAACCGGATGGACCGTGCAGCATTGCGCCACGAGCGCACATCCCAATACTTGATATGTGGATGCTCTCTCTGGTCCAAGGGATCGAGGAGCAGCGTGAGGTCGTTGCTGAGTTTCGGAGTCACTGCACCCTTCTTGCCTTGATCTGGGTTTGATGTACTGCCCTGGGGAGTATTCCGGGCGTCGCCAACATGGGCAAGGAGTGCTGCGTAGCTCTCCCTATTTGTCTGGTTGCTAGCAAGCTCACGAAATTGAGTATATTATTTGGGCTTACCTGAGGGCCTTGTGCTCGATAACTTCGCTCATATAAGTGCTGTGAAGGTCAATGTATGCGCGGTTACCGTTCATGACGAGCACGTCCGCAGGGGCCTCACGCAGAATCTGCGACATTGTGGGGCTTACGGCAGGAGGCATACTCTGGAAACGACTATCAGGTGTGACATCAATACGGCACACCGAGCTCACACTGTTCCCACGGAAGTGAGTATCAAAATGGGTTGGCGACGTATTCACGCGGTCATAACCATTTGTGAATAAGGCATTCGATGGCTGGAAGGCTTCAGGAGGCCTGGGATGGAAGGAATATTGATTGCGGTTCTCGTCGGGCAGCGAGGTTTGCAGCGAAGGGAGGAGACTATGAGCACGAGGCGTAGTCTGTCGAGTGGGTGGAAAAGAGGTGAGTCTTTGGGAATCTTGATCCATTTTATGGCGAGGTACTAGAGGATATGGATGCAGAAGATGCGGGGTGGAGACGATACAGATGCAAGGAGACCGCAAGTGCCATGTACGTGGAAGTGGTGCTGTCATCTATGGACTTGCCAAATTAGGACAGAGGAGGGACTTGTACGCGAGCAGCCCTCTAGGGCTACTTCGACTACACCATCATGCCCGTACCACTCCTCTCAGCTAGTCTCTTTGCTGGAAGTGACGAGAATCTACCTCAACAGTCAAGAAGCCATGTGCTCACCACTCCAAACGTCGTCGAGGTCATGTTCAATCGAAACGAGCGCGGGACACAAGTAGCAGTACTGCACTGCGATGATGGACCAACTGAGATGACTGAGAGCCTGGTGCGTCTCAGAAACCATGCATACACAGTTTGAATGATGAGCTTTTCTCTAGGTTATTGTCCTTCGACCTCAAAACACACACACACCATATGTTCAAACCGAGTGAGTGTTTCTGAATGTATTCTACCATTCACCGAACCCCATGTCACCCCCAGACGTCTTCGGCAGCAGATTGCTGCGAGATATACACCTATACAACATGCCGCTCGCGCCCGCTCTCCTTCAGTTATCCCAGAAACACTGGGAGCCTGGTCGAGCCCTGCTGGATCGACTACCTCCCGTTTGCAACCTTCAGTCAGTATGTCGCGCGGAGTGACCGCCTCGCCATCTCGTAGGGTGCGCACATTGATGCGTTTGTCTGCCTCGCCTGCACCCACCAATCCGTTCGCTTCGCTTGCGCGCCCACGACCATCTGCCTCGCCAGCGCGCCAGCGTCCATCTGCCTCGCCTGCATCTGCTAATCCATTCGCTTTTCCCGCACGCCCTTTCCCCGCACGCCCACGTTTGTCTGCCTCATCAGCACCCCTGCATCTGTCTGCCTCAGCTGCGCACTTGCGCCCATTTCCTTCCCCTGTTCCCTTGCGTGCGCTACCATCGCCTGCGCGCCTGCGTCCGTTCACGTCGCCTGCTCGCCGCCCGAATCCGGTCACTTCCCCTGCTCGCCGCCCGAATCCGGTCACTTCCCCTGCACGCCGTGCAAATATGTTTGCGTCACCTGCACGCCCATGCTTGTCTGCCTCGCCTGGGCCCACTCGTCCGTTCACTGTGCCTCAGGCTGCGCACCCGTGTCCATCTATCTTGCCTACACATCAGTCCGCCTCGCCTCCGCGCCCACGTCCGTTGGCGTCACCTGTGTGCCCACGTCTGTCTGGCTTGGAAGTCGAGACCGAGGAGACGAGCGAGGAAGTCGGCTCAGAAGTTGAGACCGAGGAGATGAGTGCGGAAGTCGAGACCGAGGAGATGAGTGCACCAGGCCACCGCATGAGAACACCTGAGACCCAGGATGTTATAGTATGTATAATTCTTGCCTAATATGCGCGTGTTTTCTGACTGTATTGCAGGGTTTATGGTGTGCGATGACTGGCCGCGAAAGGCCCGGTCTTGATTTCAGTGGGGCCGACGAGGATTATGCAGACACAGAGCTATTCGACTTCATTGATGATCTCGTACGTCCATAGATTATGGTACATCGTCCTCATCATCAATGTCTTCCCTCGCACCAGCCATGTACAGTATGTCCAGCCCGAGCTTCTCAATAAGAAACATACCCGACTGCATCCCTGCCTTGTCCAGTGCACATTGAGGTAACGGACACATGGCCACAACAGCCTGAATGTCCTTTACATTCACCAATGTCAGCTCATCGTCAGAGCCACGTTGAGATGCCCAGAGACTTTGGGAAGATCGCGCGAGGAGTGTCGTGTTCGGTCGTGAGTAGGGCCGGATGAGTGCGAGAGCCTGTTGGGGGCGGTCGGCTTCGATGTGGGCAAGGAAGTAGTATTCTACCTCTGCAATAACCATCTCGCCGTTGATGTTCAGCTGACATTACGAAAAGATCAGTATAAAACACAAGTAAGCAATGTACTATTACCTTCACATTCCGTGATCGACGCACATCCTCGACAGCCCTCTCGCACTCCTTCCAAGCCGAACGAGCAACTTGACCATTTGGAAGAGCGAGTCTTGCAAATCGCGCGATATGAACATCCCATGCATCCAGATTCTCCCCGCAAAGTCTTCCGAGGGAGCTACGAATCGCTCTCACATGGGATGGCTCCGACACCTTGTGTTGCCTCCGCTCAGATGCTGTAAGCAGAAAACCATCTCCTAGGTCCACCGCACCACGAGGCGGCCCCTTCGCCTGCGCGTAGTGCAGAGCACGGGTCGTGGGAACCCGCGCGGGTACCGGGTACGGGTACCCCCGGGTACGGGTCCGGGTCACGTTTCTGTGACCCGTGACCCGGACCGTACCCGCCACCTGCGCAACCGCCGGGACGGACAACCACCACAACGACGCGCTCGTGCCATCCCACCGCCCGAACACAACAAGCCCGAACGCACGATATGACAGTCGAACGGACGGCGGGCGCACAAGCGACGGGCGGGCACGCGGTGTCGCAATTAACCTCCCTCTATTAGCAATGCTCAGCCCTATACACTCGCTTGACGCATATTCGGGACTTCGCCTGAATGGCTATTTTTCTCCTCCCTGCCTGACTCTTCGCGGCGCTCTCCTGTAACGTCGCTTTGGGACTGCTTCGTTCTTCGGGTACCCGCTCTGCTATCTCTTCAACCTTCTGCCTGACTCTTTCCAAGTGCACTGATCTCGACGTCAACCCCTCGTCCTTCGATAGCACGGCGAAGGCGAAAAAACTTGCACCATTAGGAGCCCGGGCTTGGTCGAGGTACGTCGGTTCCATGCCCACATTTCTTGTCTCACATATGGTGCCAGGTCGTGAGTCACATCTCCTAACTCGTGCGGGTATGCTAACAGCGAGCACACGGCGCAGAGACGTGCAGTGATAGGCCGTTGCACGACACGTACGGCGACCACGAGCACGCAGGGCCAATGCCCCGTGTACAGGCGCGGCCTTCGAACGTGCGGCCGGGTGGACAAGCTAGTGGACTACCAGGCAGGAAAGCGGGCTGGCGAGTGGGCGTGCGAGCGGGCGCGTGGGCGCGTGGTTGAGCGGGCGGGCAAGCAGGCAGGCGGACGAGGGGAAGCTGGCAAGTGGGTGCCACGAGGGGAGACAGGTGAGAGCTCATACCATGCGGTCGCCTGCTGTCACCCACCGTTCTAGCCAGCCGTCTCGCTTGTCCACCGTCACACTATCTCCATCGCACGCCCTGCCGTCTCGCAAGCCTGCCGTCTCATGGGCACGTCGTCTCGCAGGTCCCCTATCTCGCAGGCCCGCCATCTCGCAGTCCCGCCTGCCGTCCCTCGCGCCCACTATCTCGTACGCTCTGCCTGCCGTCTCGCTCGCCCGCCGTCTCGCTCGCTTGCTGACTCGCTTGCCTGCCGTCTCGCTCATACGTCGTCTCGCCCGTCGTCTCGCCTGTCGTCCCTTGTGCCCACCATCTCGTACGGTCTGCCCGCCGACTCGCTCGCCTGCCGTCTCGCTCACCTGTCGTCTCGCCCGTCGTCTCGCCCGTGTACCGTCTCGCCTGTGCACTTGGCGCCCCTCTCGCCCGTGCCCTCTTGCTCGCGCCCTCGCGCCCTCGCGCCCTCTCGCCCACACTCTCACATGCACCTCTCGCCCGTGCCCTCCTCTGCTCTGCTCGGCCGGCACTCATGCACACGATCGCCCACGCGATTGCTCGCTCGTCCGTGCACCCACTTGCCGACAGACCCGCTTCCTTGCTCGTCGACCCGCGGACCCTGCACGGACCCGCCGTGACCCGCCTTTAACCCGTACCCGTTGGCACGGGTCAGTACCCGGGGCGAGCCACCTCAGTTGGCAAGATACTTTAGCCCGGTTATTAGCCCGGAGCAACATATTTTGGCTGCGGGTAATGCCCTACTAATTTTAGCCAACAGTCGATCCAAGATACCTTTCGTGCGAAGGGACATACAGTAATGTGACCAACATACTTTGGTCCGAGCAAGATACTTTGGTCGGAGCAAGATACTTTGGTCCGAGCAAGATACTTTGGAGTGGAGGATACTTTGGTCCGAGCAAGATACTTTGGTCCAATCAACATACTTTGATCACGAACTCGGGCTGTACACACAAGATACAATAAATTTCTTAACCCTATTAAGCCCCACTATGGGGTGCCACTACAACTGGGCTACAAATGACCCTACAAAGTCCTACTAATACTAGGGCTTCAAAAACGTATCAATTACAACTATCTTCGGCGCAGTACAGGTCTCCCTATTAAGCCCACTATAAGTCCCACATCAGTACCAACCAAGAACATAAGTCCGTGCAAACCCTTTCTACAAGCGAAGCTTGTTTTCTTCAAAGCGTCGGCGTTCCGGGTCGAGCTCCTCGAAGATAGATTGCCTATCCTCCCAAATGGTCTCGCGGTCCGGCCATTCGGGAGCCACACCACCTTCATTGCCATCAGCATACCATTTCAATTGCTTCGTTTCCAACTCACCTGTAACCTCGTGGATTAACGGGAGCTTGCTAAGTCCCCACTTCACCCACACAATGTAATCGCCTTCGCGTAAGCCGAACACGACGTTGGCGATGTTCTCGACATGCACAAAGCGCCACGCCCGCTTCGGGCCAATCCACAGTGCGATGGGATCGACGAGATCCAAATCGTACCTTGTGCAGACAGACGTAAAGCTCTGTCGACCACGCTTGTCGAAGAGGAAGACGTCCGGCTGCAGACCTTCCTGTAAAGCGGGGATCAGCGAGTAACAATCACATAAGTGACCAATGACTAACCTCGTTGTAGGCATAGATAGCGACGCAAAACGGTTTGCTCACTAACAACGTTCCGGCGTCCGACGCGACGGGCGTAGGCACTGCAGGTCCGTCTCCATCAATCGAGGAATCCGTGTCGGAGCCGTCCTCGGACGCGGCGTCGACAGCGATCGTGGCGCGAATGAGCCTCGCGTCGGTCGCGCGCCCTCGATTGCACAACGCACCGTTGCGAGACGAGACAGACGCAGGTGACGAGAGAGGCGACGATGAAGGGGGAATGGCAGCGTTTGCCTGAGACGCAGCGGGCAGAAGAGCCGGCAACGGTGGTTCTACGTTGGCCCAGTATGCCGCGGATGCCTCAGACTCGTTGTCCGAGTCCGACCGTTCGATCGTATCGGATGGCGTGCGCTGTGTGCGGCGTGGGGTATGGGGTGGCAGGGGTGGCCCAGGCAGTATCTCAATGTCCGAATCATCGGACAACGTGCGTGCACTGGTCGACGCCGTGGCTCGGTTGGATTGAGAAGGGGCGACGAGGGGGCGGCTGCACATAATGGGGTCAAAATGTCGGTTTGTTACCCGGCCACCCAACATGAGATTCACTTATTGTTGCCCGGCCACCCGACGTCGGCCGACGTTCGGATCCGCCCTTTATTCGCCTACTCGGCCGACGGCCAGAATATCCGGCTGAGTGCGGATGGGCCGACACATTGCAGTCTGCCCATGCTTCCATCGCGGCCGCCCACCCGCACCCTTGTGGATTGATATTGTATGTTACAATTGCACGCGGGTCGGCCGAGCATGACATTCAGGGGCATTCGCGAGTCGGCCGGCGATTAGAATCCCGATATACACCCCGTCGGCCGACGCTTCAGCATATGGGTGTGTACCGTGTCGGCCGTCCATTTGACAACCCGCCGGTCGCACGGCGGCCGCGTGTCCTGCATCCTATGTCAGTCCGGTCGGCCGACTCAGGGGCAGATACACAGCGATCGTTTGGGTCCATCAACACTTGCCCGGTCGGCCGACATATCCCCATGTCATGGTGCCATGGCGGCTTTAACGTAACTGGGTACAAATTGTCCACCCTACATGCGTTTCTGCCTGCTCGGCCGACCCTTTGACTACATCTTTTGTGCCCAGTGGGCCGACACCCCAATACACTGTTATCACCCAGCCGCCCGACGACTTGTCAAGGGGCTCATATCGGAGCGGCCGACAGTGTCAACTATCACTGAATATGCTATGTATTGAGCTTTCGGCAGCCACACCCAATGCTATTTCAGTCTGTTGAGCATGTGTCAGCCGGCTGCTTATATGTTCCCTTTCCTGGGTATCGGTGGCAAAACACCACCAGTGTAGGTCCTCAGTGTTGCGGGTGCACCCGGTATGCCGCCTAACACACGGCTCCGCCTAGTTTGTAATCATGATGACAATGCACTCCCGGAATGTCCGGGCCGGACTCCCATCTTGAAACGATCACAAGCCGATCTGTCCGATCTACCGGGAATGCAAGACCATCACTAGACATTACCAGCCACACCTTTTGCATGTGACTGTTGTACAAACTATACAGAACGTCCGAAATTCTCATCAAACCTTCCTGCATGATCAACGCGAACTGCTCCCACCATGCTCGCCCAAAGTCTCGACATCCGTGTTTCCCATTATATGAATGCCCTCTACGAATATACTCTGTCTCGCTCCGCTGGCTCCGCCGGGCAGCTTGTGCCGCCCGCACCGGATGCCGACTTCAATCCGGAAATGATCGCCCAGGCAGGCAAAATGGTTGAGATTATTGTGGAAGCCTTCCTCCGACGATGTCGGTATAGTATATTTCGTGGGAGCAAGCCTAGGCTCACTCGAAGGCCAAGTTCTCGTAGATTGGAATGCAGAGGATTATGCAGAAGCTATTCCGGCCGAGATTTCCGAGAGAACAATCTCGCGCTTGCATGCCGCCATGAAGAAGTTCCCACCCCTCCCATTCAGCGACGGTATATTTACACAGCCGGTCACCGTCGTCGATGCAGCGGGCCATGTTCTGCTTTGGTACCTGCCTGGCATCATGACGGCCGAGCAGCAGGCGAGCGTCATACTTTCCTCGCTTATCCATGGATGCTAATTAACAACCTGTTCAGGTCAAGATATGGCAGAATACATTCCTACTCAATCCGATGCTCGCAAAGTCTCGTGGGCAGGCTTCGACAACATGGCGGAATCACCCGGACAACTTCGCGGCAACCGGACAATGGCAAAGCCTGGATCCCGGGTGCATATCTTTCTCCCCGGGTTGGTACCAGCAAGGTCACCAGGTATGCAGCATTGAGCACCAGCAGTGCCGGACTAATGATGTCTCTCCCAGGGCACTACATATCCGCCACAGGTGTCCTCGACGTTATCAGACGAACATTCTCCCGGTCGGGATTGGTTGCGAGCGATGGCGGAGCAGCACGCCCTCATCGGAGGCATGCTTCGGATAATCCATCCGGAGTTACACGCCATGGGCTATGCGGCCCTCGCCTCAACTCAGTCTTGCCCCGACATTGCGGAGGTCCTTCCCCTGTGGGGAAATCCATTCAACGCATTGTCGGTTATAACCAACCGCCAAACGCCACTCCATGTGGACAGGATGTCCGCAAAGGATTGGTACGATCTACTCATAACGATTGGGGGTGACGACGACACGGTATTAGAGCTCCCGACCCTCGGCCTGACCTTACAGTATGCTGGGGGGTGTGCGGCGTTGTTCTCCGGCTCCTTGATCCCGCATTCCGTATCAGGATCAAACAGGGAGAGGCTATGCGTTGTTTACTACCTTAGACCCCAAGTGCATACATGGGCGAAGGTGCAGAAGACTACTTGGCTGACGGTCGATTTGTAGCTCGATAGACATCTTCGGTTACATTATGCCAGAATATATTGTTAAATCGTGACCCTTTTCCACCGCATTGCACCATGGCAGCCAAGGAGGACATGCCCACCACGAGGCATCCGATATCGGACGCCCGAAGTCGGACGCCCGAGGTCGGACGCCCGAAGTCGGACGCCCGAGGTCGGACGCCCGAGGTCGGACGCCCGAGGTCGGACGCCCGAGGTCGGACGCCCGATGGTGGTCATAAGATGTGTCGAGAGATTGGCACAGCGACAAACAAGTGCTTGAAAATTCTGGTTGTATTACCGCCCGAGGTACATGATACCATAAGCAGTGTCAGCATCTTTGTGGAGCATTTTGTACATATGTTGTCTCTGACGGCACACCTCCGCATACCCAGGATACCTTCCACTCTTCCGGTGGGCGGCATGACCCGACCACCTTGTCATCTCGTAATCGAAGTACCTCCGCACGGAATCCAACTCCCGGCGCAGGATATTGTCCTCTTCTTCCGCTCGCTCGAACTGTGACCGTGCTCGGAACCAATGCACACGGTGTACTGTGCCGAATTGTGAGTCCCCAGACATATAGTGACCGGTGAACTGCTTACATTCCGTCATCGTCTCGCTTGCACTCATATCGCCTTGAACATCAGTCGTCCATAGCCACGGTAGCCGGGTGTGTCGCTGCCCTCGTTGGTTCGGTTCTACAACTGCTGTGCTTATTTTTAGATCGTCGGGCACCAATTTCTGGTATTTCCGCATCGTCGCAGGTGGTGCTCCCAGCGCTGTCATCGCATGCCGCACCTTCCTATACATCCGGGCATGGTGTTCGACTCCTTTTTGAACCGAGTGGACATCCGCCCATGCCCGAGTCTTCCGAGTCTGAGACTTGGCATCGCGCACCTTCGCACGCATTACAAACGATTTTTGACTCAGCAATATCCGCAATTGGTGCAAGATGTCGTTTGCTTGGCCAATTCGGAGCTCCAGTTCAGCTTTCGCATACGGCTGCACTGCCGCAGTCAAGATCGTGCTCGCGGGATAGGAGGATGGAAGTGACAGTGGCCGCCACTCCGCTTCTCTTCCATCTCGCTTTCTTGCTTTCGGGGTAGGAGCTGTACGATTTCCGGTGGCATTCTGGCCGACGGCTGCTGTGCCATTGTTCTGCATGTCCTCCCAATCGGATAGGTCCCCGTTGTCATCGATAACCTCGGTATGCTGCCGGCCGTCTTCCCAGTCGTTCGTACACAGAATCTCCTCTCCCTTCCGTAGGAATCGCTCGATCCGGAGTTCGAGCCTCTTCCTCTGCTTGGCGATATTCAGACGCTGCTCCGCCGTTGTCTTTGCCCCATACGCCCTGACGACCCGCTGCAGCGCAATTCTGTCGGAGTGGTAAGCATCCAATGTCGGGGGACCGAACGATAGATACCCACTGTGAATCCTCAATCCTCATCCCCTCAACCATCCACTCGGCTGACCCGACGATTGTGTTGTTATCACCTTCGTTTTCAGTCAGAGTTATTTGGATTTCTGCTCTTGACGGTGCTACTTTACGCATTAGCAAGCATTTGTACGATGTTTGCTGGCCGACATTTACCATGCTGGCCCTGAACCTCAAATTTGTCCATCACTGATACATCGTTCACACGTTTTTTGTGGGCTTCCGCAACCGCTGACATCCATTGCGCGAGGATTTCATCGTCGATCCCGGCTTCTTGATCCTCCAGCGCCTCTCGGAAGCTCTCAAGGAGCAACCGGTTGGCGGCAATGCGTTTCTTCAGGGCTGGGACTGCACCTGTGTAAGACCCTATAACGCCAGACAGCCGATGTGATTGCCGCACCTATTGACACCATTTTCCTCCAATTCCAGTCGTTCATATGGCGGTCGAGAGTTTCTTGCCTATGCGATGTAGCCATTGTCCGAGTACTTCCAAACACCTTACCCAATGGAGACCACAGTGTTTCGACGATCTCCCCATCGACTTGTCCCGCGCCGCGCATGAACGTTGGGGCGTGCCGGAGCAGGCACTTCGACTGGTGGCCATGTACATGGAACAAGCCGATGCCGAGGTAAAGCGTGAGGCCGCGTGGCATCCGGAGACACGGACCGTCCTTGAAGCGTTTTGGGAGGTGCACTCCATATTGGCACATCACGTCGTAAAGCACAATGGCGTTCCGAATGCTGTCCGATCGGTAACTCATAGCTTCCGACAGCGTGTAATCCATGTTCTTCTGCCGCTCACCGGCCTGGAAGTTGACAACGCCATGTGGAAAAAAGCATCCATGGCGTGAGCAAGCCGTTGCCCCAATCCCGGTAGACTGTAATTTGTGCCGATGAGCATTGGCCCGAGCGATAGCTTGGTGGTCATTGCATGTCGGTTTCTTGTACTCAATCAGCTCAGCTCGCAACACAACATTCACCGCACCCACCATTTTAATGTCCGTGGATGACTTCAAATGGGGAGCCAATTCATCATCCGTCACCATGAACGCCTTCCCGGGCATAAGCGGAACATCGTTGCCCGGCTTCCGCATCTTCGTATGCTCGGCGGAGAAGTTGCCATCCATGACATAACCACGGGCGTAAATGTACCTGTCAATCCGGTCAAATCCCGCAGACTGAGGACCGACCGGCCACTCACGCATTCGGGTCACTGTCCCAGTCGTCCGGAATGTTCACTCCGGGCTGGGGGCAGGCAGCACAGAATAGTGCAAGATCGCCAGTCCCCGGTTCCCCCCGCCATTTCGGACCAAATCCGAACTGCATCATAGCCCGGAGCAGAGTCCACTGTCTGGTGGCACGCATGAATTCCGCATAGCGATCCTGCAGTGTGGTGATGAATACGGTGAACCATCCCTACGGGTGGCTGGACTTACCGGCACACGATGCGGGAAGGCCGGATTGGTCTTCCGGCGCAGTCGGCGATAATAGTTCATCGCGGATGTCTTGCATTCCAGATTGTCAAGCAGAAAGTCGTCCAGTACGTCGAAGGTAAAGCACGTTTTGACATTCAGCTGGCTTGCTGGGTAAAGCCCGGCCTGGAGGAGCTGACCACGAACTGATTCCGCCCGAGGGCAACGGCAGCATTCGACCCGGAGGAAATGGACGGCGGACGTATCGACAATTGTCATATGCATTTCCGGAGCCCGCTCACCCCCAGCTGCATCACGAAGCGGATCCCCGAGGGTTTCCTCGTCCTCCTCACCGCTCTCGGACTCACTGGAGGACTCGTCGTCCGACCAGTCACTCTCATTGTCGGGGTGCTCAACACACGGACAGGGAGAGCCTTCGTGACCAAGGTGGATCTGAAGGCCTAGGGAGCGAAGCCAGGAAGGGACCCAGAAAGTGTCCGTCCAACGTTCCAAACGGTGGAATGGCAGGCGGGCGTGTTCCCGCAGGCAGCAGGATTCGCAGAACACCGGCCGGCCGAAGCAAGAGAGACACTTCCACTCTGCTGAGCCAGCCGAGCATTTTTCGCATCTCGAGCTGCCGGTATCATCGGGTTTCGGTGGGGCGTGAGCTGCGTACATGTGCTGCAAGTACGCATCCCGGTGTGGAAGCCAAGCGGACAGCATGTCAGGTTGTGACTAGGCAGATGTTAGCTGGCTCGGCGACATGCTGACAAGCTTGCCGCGCACCTTTGGGGCCCGTGCACGGCGCTGTGGCTGTGTTGGAAGCGGCGGGAGAGGTGGAGGAGTGGAAGTCCCGGCTTGCAGATCGGGCGGGTCGACGGTTGACTGGGGTGTCCAAAGGCCCCTCGACCGACGTGCCATCGGTGCCGAGAGTTTAGAGCCCTTTGAGTGAGCCGCTGTCGGTGCCGATGGTTTGGAGGCCTTGGACTGACCCGCTGTCGGTGCCGACGGTTTAGATGACGAGCTTGGTGTGGATGGGCCATCATCCGGTAGGACAACGCGGCGTGTCGCCAGCCCTCTTGATGTCTGCTTCCGTTGTATCTCGACTTCGTCAACTTTTGGGGAGCTGCATCGTCGCTTTGACCTTGTCTTCGCCATCGTGCAGCAGGTGGACAGTGGACAAGGACGCTCGACACAGACTTTGCCAATGGCTCTGCCAGAAACGTGTTTACCATGAGGCCACCACACCCTCGGCTAGGTCTTTCGGAGTAGCTCGGAAATGGTCTCTAGGGAAGGGGCATATGCTGTGATTGGTGTCTGTGGAAAGCTGCTGCCAGTACGCTAATGTGGGGCAGTTTTCATGGCATCGGACACCCGACATTGACCACAATTCACAGATATTGTGACATACTAAGCGAGGCGAAGCTACCGGGCGCCTACATCCATGAGGCAAATGCATGGCAGGTGCCGTGCACAGCTGGCAAGGTTTGTGCTGTCCCCTTGCCTCTCTCCACCCACCATGCCAGCAACATCTTACACTCCAGGTGAACTCCTGATCCTGCGGAGCTTCCTGCCCGAATGGAAGGCGGGCAGCTCGGATGACCGTAAGGATGTCCGGGCGCGCGCAGTCGAGCAATTGGAGGCCCACCTTGGAAGGGCGTTGAAGAGGGGGGCGAAAAAGGTATGTCCAATTTGGTGCCGTGTGTATACATTGCATCATATACACTCAGGCTGTCCGGGCGTGGTTTTACAATACCGCTCCTGTGAAGAATAAGAAGAAGAAAGATAGGCCCTCCGCGTTCGGCCGACGACTGAACTGGCACCGTGTCGTGGCATGGCACATGCCCGCGGAACTGGAAGAGAAGATGGCTTCGACCGGGGTCACTCACGGAGACAAAGACTTCCTCGCGACGTATCAAAAGGAGCTGCGGAATCTTGCCAACAGTCTCCCTCGGGCGAAGCAACGGGAATACAAGGAGGAGGCCGTCCGGTGGAATTCGGAAGGTCAACCTCACGAGCTGCAAGACCGGAACATCGTTCGGAAGAGCGAAGCGGTCATGTTAGACTTCGCAAACTACGTGTGGAGGAACTTCGGTATGCGCGTGTTCGTCCACGCCGTCTACAAATCCCTGGAAGGCAAACCGTGTTTAATTGAGTGAGTACCAACATTGTAATTGACTCCATGAAATCTCATCATTCCACGACCGCCAGCTTTGATTGCAACGACCTTGTCGACCCCAACGCCCAGCGCTCAGCGGGTCGGGTCAAATTCAAGGATATGTACCCTGACTACAAACGTGCGGACGGGTTCCGAGATCTATTCAAGGACTATGGGCACAAACTGTTTGGTACGTGAATATCCTCCACCACTTCCTGGCTTATCCGGGTGGCTCATGGGCCATTTCGCTATTCCAGCGGGCGAGGACGTATCGGAGGACAGTGATGCGGATGTGAGGGCGAGTAAGCGGGGCGTGCCGAAGATTGACTGGGAGATGTACGATGACGACACTCCCTGTATGCCGCACCACGGTGACGAGTGCTTCAAGAATCTACGGAACAAGAAGGCATTCATTTCGGAGTTCGTCCGGCTCCATTACGGTCAGCATGAGATGTATATGACATCAACAGGTACTGACAGTAGTGCAACAGTGGCGTATACAAAAATGCCGAAACTGAGAGTCCCTTGGGTCGCCCTCCAGGCATCTTCGGAGCAGCTTCTCGAGGCCGGGTCCCTTCCAAACGGCGTCAACCTTCGAGAACCCTCTCACATGAAGCAGGCAGAGGTGGACGCCATCATCGCACACTGGCGGACAAGGGCTACCTCCACACGGCTTGCCTTTGTCATTTGTTTCATTGCCTACCGAAACCATCAAAGCGAGATCGTGTCTGTGGAACATGAGGAGCCGCGGACAGCTGCCCGTCGTGCTGCCCGGAGTGCACGACCTCGGCGTCAATCGTCCCCCCATCCGAAGGGTCGCCGCTCGCGTCCAAGTGGCTCGAAGCCTGTGAGTGTCCCCCTGGCACAACGGAGTGAGGCCTCCGATGGAGACGACGAGCGGGACAACCTTCATGAACGCCAGTCGGACACCGATCGTAGTGACGCGGACGTCGCCAGCGAAAGTGACCTACCTGACAAGAAATCGTCTTCTTCCTCGTCATCGACATCTTCGAGCTCCTCAACTGGAAGTGATCCCGCTACCCCGCCGCCCCCCCGTCACAAGAGCGGAGAGCTAGTAGTGCGGCCTTTGCCAGACCACTCCCCATCGCCCTAGCATATGACGATTCGGCCCACGAGATGATCCGGTCAACGGTAAAGGACAGCCCGCATTCGGACATTCTGCCTGCCACGGACGCGGGACTGCCATCTCCGTCGTCGTCCTCGAGCCCCGCATCACCTTTGCTCCCAGTGGATCGCAAAGGCAAACAACGAGCTGACATCCCTCCTCCATCCGATCTCTTTAGTCCCAAACCACCTCAGCGTCCGGTGGGGCTGGGACCTAAAAAGGGAAGAATGGCACCTTTGAGGTTGATGTCTGGTCTAGTTATCGAGCGCATGAGCAGTCCAGCCCAGCAGCATAGCCCCGAACCGCGGTCCGATTCGCCATGTCCGCCACCAAGGGTCGTGCCCCGTCTGCGTAGGCGGGATGGGACCGGTGCCGGCCCATCCCACCCATCACAGGCTGCGTCCTCGTCCGTGAAGCACAAAAGTGGGTCGGCCGCCCAGTCCGTCCCTGTGGGCAAGACAGGTGTATTGGCAAACTCCTTGCCCGGGAAGGCGTTGTCCAGGAATACGATAGGTCGGGCAGCTCGGACAGCCTCCGCAGGTCCTTCCGGGACGACTGGTTCACCCATGGCTGACACACAGGCTTCAGCGGCGTCGGCTGCTCATGAGGCCGTGGATCGGAAGCCGTCAGCATCGTCGGCGGCCCCACACGAGGCTGGGGAGGAAGCCGTGATAGAAGAAGGCGCGCCGGCCAAAATGAGGGACGACATAGTCGATCGCCTGCGCTTCCTCCGTGAACTGTCAAGGAGCAAATACTACTGTGCGCTGTTGGAAGTCATTCCGCCATTGGTAAGCATTTACAACAACGGGTTGAATCTTACATGCTGAGGAATCGTCTCCTGGCAGTCACATGCCGGATCTTGGCATACCACCAAGAGCTGGGAATGGGGCATGTGGTCTTACGAGAAATCTCATTGCCCGCCAGCGGCCCACACTAACGCGACCGAGATCAGATCGTTCAAGTCGTGGCTTACCAGGATAACCACAAGCATGAAGGACACATCAATCAGTATTGATGAGGCATTGACCGTCGCTCTGACGATCGGAATGCTACTGCAGGATCTGGAAATGGCCTTGTCAGATAATCGCCATAAGTATAACTTGCCGGACCATGTTCTCCACACGGTCCACGACCACAAATTCGTCAAGGAGCGCCTGCTTTATGCATGCAAGGCACTGGCTAGAGAATGGCGGGAAGTTCCTGAGCGGACGAAGCGACTGATGCATCCGCCGGGGACCGGTTCGGATGCCTCTGCAATTGGCGCAAGGATGAGGAAGCGTGGGCGTAAAGAGGGACATGGCTCACCGAAGGCGGAGCCTCGGCCTACGAAAAGAATTCGCCGGCGGTAGAATGTCCATGTACGTATGTCATAACATATGTACGCATGCGTGTACAGCAGAGAATAGACGTTAATGGCATACTCTGTTCACTGTTCACTAAGTGTTCACTCAGTATGCGACTTCGGTCATCCAACCTTGGTGATCCAACCTTGGTCATCCAACCTCGGTCATCCGACCTCGGACGCCCGACCTCGGACGCCCGACCTCGGTGTCCGCCCTCGGGCGTCCGACCTCGGGCGTCCGCCTTCGGGTGTCCGCCTTCGGGTGTCCGCCTTCGGGTGTCCGCCTTCGGGTGTCCGCCTTCGGTGTCCGCCTTCGGGTGTCCGCCTTCGGCGTCCGATATCGGGCGTCTCCCATGGGACACCTGCTCTTACTGTGCATCACCCAGTGTTCTATATCGTACAACGCGTAGAGGGTACAACATGGCGGAAAACTAATATATACTGCTCAACCGACCCGTGGCATATCGCGGGTACGGCTGCGGGCCCCATTGCTCTCGTGGGCACTCTGGATGGGAAGGGTGCGTGCGGCTCCCGGACGATCAAAGCACCTGTTAAATTGCATGTCAATAACTCGGAGCGATCACACCATGCCAGACGGGACTCACATCGCGAGGGGAAGGACGAGATATTGTTCGGACATACTGAAGTACGTCAACTCGTTCACGACGAATACATCGTGCCCAGCGGCCTCATTGGCAGTCTGGACAAATGTGTCCCGCAGCCGTTCCTGCGCTTTGTCTTCGAGGATGCGACGGAAGTGTCGCTTCTGATCCTCCCATGCCGTAATAATCACGGCTGTGAGGCCGCGCTTGCCGATGAGCCCTATATTATCAGGGGGGTGTCAACAACACATCCAAAAATTGGTGAGACTACGCACAGCTCACAGGCGCAACGCGGTGAGTCTCGGGGAGCGAGCGCACCCAATCGATTAAGTAGACGATGTCGTGCGAGACGTCATCGTCGGCTCCGGGCTCTCCGTCCTCCAAGGCATCCTCGGGGTGATGTTCACCCCACTTCTTCACCCAGAAATTGTGGACACTGCGCTCGGGCAGTATGTAGCCCCCAATCATGCCCATCCTGGGGATGGATAAGTCAGTCGATGTGAACGCTTGCCAGTGTGTCATGGAACTCACTTGGTTCTGTGTGGCTGCTGCTTGTACGATTGCCGTTAACAGATAAGATGCAGTCGGGATCGATAATATGATGCCCCTGACACTGTGCCTGAGACAATCACATGACTAATACCCACGCTGTGTTCTTCTCCCGTGTTCCGATATCGCGGGGCCTGCGGCAGTAGGCGTTCGGTGGCAGATGTCAGACTGCCTTCGGGCGTGTGAGCGAGGCTTTCACAGACAATGTCAAGGATCCTGTATTCTTCTGCCGTGTTCCGATAACCCGGGGGCCTGAGTTGATGAGCGTTCGGTAGCACATGCCTAACTGAGTTCGGACATGTGAGGTATGCTCCGCAACACAGCGGACAAAAGGCGGGAACTTTCACTGAGCTTCCGATGGCGATGATATGTCTCTATTGCGAACACAGTGATAAGTGATTCTCTGTCCGGAACTTGGGTGTGGACTCCGCATGGCATGAGAGACAAACCGCGGCAATGAGTCATTGTATTCACTCAGCATGTCTCTTGCCCGTTTTCTGAAGCCGGATAACGTTGTCCGAACCCCAAGTGTTGCGTTCTGCATGAGTCAGGCAAACATCCATGATATGCTGTCGATCCGCGGACTGCTTCGGAGACAAGCCATTGGCCGATAGACATTGCATTCGTACTCCCATGTTTGGAGCACCATACAACGAAATACACACCCCCGGGTGATGAGCAAGCCCGATGTCATCCATATATAAGAATCTGCGCATTGTTGTTAAAGCAGCAGCCGACGTGCAACACTCGTGCAGCATCGACGAACATGAGCAAGGTGAGCAGTGATGCATCGGACGCATGCGGGCAAGAACACTAACACCATGTAGGTTTCCTTTGATGGACACGTCGACCTCGACGATCGCCTCCGACAGATATTCAACCACTGGCGCACATGTCCTACGTCGAGCCAGTACTCCACCTACGGAGCCTGGAACAAGTACCTCTCCGTGCGTTTTCGGCACGACATGGTCAAGCCGCAAGAACCGCTTCGCCCGTCCGTTCCAGGTCAGGACGTTCTTAACGTTCTTCATCGCCGCCGGGGCAATGAGGAGCTGGCCATTGCTGGCCAAGTCCTCAGCCACGGTGCACCCGTGAGCACTGACTACACTGGTACGTGGTCGGTCGTTCCCTTACTTGGCATCCGAACTCACCGGCTGCAGGAGGACTGGTCTTTAAGCGGCAGAAGAGCGGCACGAAGCTGCCAGACTTTGTCGTCGCGTCATACTACGGTCTCGAGATCGGTACGAACGAACTGAAGGCCGAGCTACCGCGCCTCGTCGTTGAAATAGGCTCGCTCGACGAGGGCGAGAAGACACCGACAGCGGCCCATCGCAAAGCCATCATGACTCAGCTGAAGGGTTACCTTATGCGGATCGCCGTCGACATTCCGCCAACACAGGCCGACTTCCCTTACGGTGTTGCCATCGTTGGCACGGAGGCTGCGTGGATCCGTCCAAACCGACATGGCGGCGGCATTGGTTGGGCATTCGTCGGTGGTGTGAATGGAGGTAAGGGAGAGTGGGGAGCATTTATGACCCCAAGTTCCGGGTCCAGATCGATCAGCTTGTGCAGCGCAGCGAGGCGGACGCGGTCGCTCACGCGCGTCTTCACCGGGAGATGATCGAAACTCCCGAGGCCTTCTTGGTGGCTGCGGAGGGTGACCGTGACGAGGCCGATGGCAGCGACGACAATCCCGAGGCCGATGAAGGCGATGGCCAGGGCCTTGAGGGCAGCGATGGCGGCGACGACGGGGTGGAGAGGCAGCATCGGGACGAGGAGGAAGAGGACGAGGACGAGGAGGGCGACGAAGAAGTCGAGGTCGAGGAGGAGGAGGACGAGGACGAGGAGGAGGTCGAGGTCGAGTCCGAGGATGACGATTAATACTCCAAGTGCCCTCGAAGATTGTTCTGCCTATGCATGTGTTGCCTCATATAGATAATGATGATTTAGCCGACCAACACATCGACATAAAGAAAGGTGTACAGAGTAACAGAATGGAGGGAAGGAAGGTATCCGCACGGCCCAAGCCCAGGACCCGATGTCGGGCTTCCGATGTCGGGCGTCCAATGTCGGGCGTCCGATGTCGGGCGTCCGATGTCGGGCGTCCGATGTCGGGCGTCCAATGTCGGACGCGCAGTGGTTCCTCATGCACGTGGTCTTGGCGGGTGTGGGAAAGCAGCCACAAAGGCGTGATCGCAGGTTCATCATGAGCCCTGCTATCTCCTCTCATCTCACATCCCACTCAGATTCCTCGTCACCCTTTAACATTGTTGCTATGGCTGTCCCCACCGCGCAAGACTACGATGATCTCTGCTACAACTACGCGCTCCCGTCTGTAAAGGGAGCAGCAGTCGGTAGTAAAGCCGACGGAAGCACACCCCAAATGGACGACGAGCTCGTGAAATCAATGGTAATCCATGACACTGCGTCCCAGCATGGTATAGGCCACTGATGTTCTATTTCTTCAGTGCATGGCCGCGCTCGTGACTGGGCTCAAGCGCCTTTCCGACGAGAACACGCAGATGGCCCTGGCATTACGGACGCGATGGCCCGCTTTTGGGATATTGTGGGTGGCCGGGAGGAATCGGGCAAAGCAGCGCTGTCGCGTTTGGGTGATATAGTGGTCCCCAAAGCGATCCGAGAGCCCGATCAACTTATCCAGGTCCCACCGGATGTAGCATGGACATCCGCGAAGCACGCGGTCGAAGAAGGTATGTGTGGGCGATTGTGGACCGATTTCCATCCTTACAAACTAAATAGGCACGGCACTTTTGCCTCCGGATGGTGTATCACTTTCCGCATTTCGTACGGAAGTTCGTGACACGCTTGAAGCGGAGGCCAGCCGAGTGGACGCAATCAACGAGATGTTGGAGGTGCAAATTGCGGAATGCGAGGGGGACCACACTGCGAGGGATCGGGCGGAGAACCGGTACAACCAGGAGGCAAGTTCGTTCTGTACTCCCAGTGGAATCGCCTTTAATGTTGCTCCCGATAGGTCATTGGGCGCGCCCTGTACCGGCTTAACCTGCGACTGCTCCCGTCCCTCGTAATGCATGTTCCACAGAGTCCCCAGGCTACGGGCAGCGAGGGGAGGGCGGCACGATGCACAAAGTGTTGACAGCAGAGGAGGAGATCGAGTTTCTCCGTGAGTGTGTCACCGCACTACAGGCGAACTTCGAATACATGGAGGAGTACATCTCGGCGGAGATTCGGTTCTGGGATTCGGCGTTGGCGGCGAATGAGCGCAACCTAGACGACTGGTATGCAAGGGAGGCTGAGCACCCTGTCATGGAAGATACGGAGTATTTTACCCATGACTACACAGAGTTCCGTAGCTTAGATGACATGTGACAATGAATAATCAAGCCTGCTTGCATGTGTAGGATTTTTCACAGCCTTTGTGTAGTTGAACTCACTGGCCTGTATACATGCAGTTCGAAATGGCCAGAAAAGTCGAATCATGTATGACAACTCTGTATCCGTCATATGGCACGAAAGCGATCGTGTACACCGGCGGGCGGCAATGTGATATCGGAGCCCGCTTTCGGACGCCCGATGTCGGACACCCCATGCCGGACCTGGGCAAGGGATGAGGATTGAGCAAGAAGAGGCGATGTCATTAAGTGTAATCATCATGTATCAAGCTTCGGCAAACAATCATTGACATTAGTCCGCACCCGTACATGGACAAACAATCGCGAAATGTTGACCCATTAACTATCGTACCATGTTCACGGGCATCCATCCGACTGCCTCCCTGTCATGAGACGCTGTCGCAGTGCCCCAAATCGAGACGAAGCTTGTCGTGCATAGCATGAAGCTTTGTGTTCTCCTGCCGAAGGTCATGCACTTCGCGTGAGACATCGGCCGCGGTTTCGAACAGCTCGACTCCCTGTACACTTTCATACTCAGGCCGAAGACCATGCCCTGTGAACCCATTCAAATGAGTCGATCGGCAATTGACTATACCCGAGGTGACCTACTCGGCGGGAGCGCTCCAATGTAGGCAGGCACCCATCTGCGCTTTGCATTGTTAGGGCCTGAGGAGCTCGCCATCGAAGCCTGAACCCGCTGCTTTCCTTTCGGCTGCTGACCCTTCGCAACACGCTCGCTCGGAACACGAGGGCCATGCAACTCATTATCGTCATCAATGGGATTGCAGGCCTCCGCCCGACGCCGACCCTTTGCCTTCCCAGCCTTCGGAATCACGAGCTCCTCCAATTCGTCCACTTCCTCGCTGGTATCGATGCTGTCCGCCTGCTGTTCCCCAGTTAATATCATCGACCGATCCATTGTTCCAATTACTCACATCATGGTCCGCGTCATTCTCCGATTCCTGCAGGTACTCCCAGTGTGGTGTCATTGACGCACCCTGCCCATTCCGCCCCAATGACCCAGGTGTCGGGCGAACATCAAGTTCCTTCGATTGATTTTCGTCCATTGCAACAAGGCCGATGTGAGGGAGCACGAAGGAAACTCCATGGGCAGGCCCTGAGGCCGTCGCGGATTGCCCTGCTCCGCTAAGAGCATGACCCATGGTCGGGGGCACCTTGAGGGCCGCACCGGCTCTGAAGACGCAGAGGGCGCAGCCATATCGATGACCGGGCCATGTGGGACATGCCCGGCGGCGGGGTCGCACAATACCATCCGCTTCCGAACACCCTTGGGTCATCCACTGTAATGCGGTCCATCCGTCTCTTGTAATCGCCCGACACATTGCTCGCAAGTTCTTCCATGGCGGAAATGGCAATGGGAGGCACATACACCAACCAATTCCTATCGGTCGCCGATCGCAAGATATCCGTGATGTTGAACTGGAGTCACTATCAGCAATTGGAACTGGTGTGAAAAAATTGAAAATTACAGTGAGAGATTCCACGGCCTTCCACTGAAAGTCAAAAACGACATATCAATGCATGTCTCAATAAACTAAGCAGTGTCTTACAAGCTGCCGCAATTGTATTGCCATCCTGAAAACGGGGATCTTTGGATTCCCTTACCCCTTCTCGATTTGGGTGCCATACATATAAAGCACACCATTGACTTCCATGGCACCTTCAAACCCGTCCAGTGGGTCAGCAGCTTGAGGGCGACCAGCAATGGTTCAATGAGGGAGAGGTTTTTGATGTCATGGTACGATGTGGCAGAAATTGACGGAGCGGAGGTGGAATGTGTCTCAATGAGTGGAATGGAGTTGCGGACAAGAGCCGCATGTATTACAAATAGCTTGGGTAGGAAAGCAACCAGTCTCACGTGGTCAGATCTAGCACATCCGTGCCTTGATCGTCCGATGAATCTGACCAATCAGATTGGATTTCCATATCAACATTAAGTCATACAATATGCCACGCCAGTGAGCACGATCTATCGGGCGTCCGACAGCGGGCGTCCGACAGCGGGCGTCCGACAGCGGGCGTCCGACCTCAGGCGTCCGACAGCGGGCGTCCGACCTCGGGCGTCCGACCTCGGGCGTCCGACCTCGGGCGTCGGAGCTCGGGCAGTCATTGTGAATAGCTGGGCAGCCTACACTCGGCCATCTTACATGAATGTCTTCCATACCCCACTCGTATAAACCTGTCTGTCATTATTCTCATCAAAATGACATGCTACTTTACAATCGTAAGTCTACAAATGCTCGGCGCCGCGTACCCGCTGGATGCACATCGTCCTTTTCACTCCCCAATTCCACACCGTCGTCGTTCAATGTTGTCCACCTTGGGAGCGGGGGAGTCACGACGCTGAGGCGCGTTGCATTCGATTCTTCCGCGGGGCCGAACGGCGATGGTATTCCCCACCGCTACCTTCCTCCCGTGTGTTCAGCTGTGCGACGCTGTTGACGTTGACCTGAGGGTTTATATCTGAGGCAAACACATTGAATGCGATGCCCCGTCGCTATCGCCATGGTCAGGCGATGCACCGCCTGCAATCCGTCGTCAGTGCCTGTGGCGACATCCAAATGCGGACAACTCACCGCATCCGACGCCTCGGCAGGCTTGGCACCTAAGGTTGCGGACGTTACATGCATTGAACCTGATGTGTCGTCAATTGTGGCCTGAGCATCAGGCGTTGCGGCGATGGATTCTTGTGTCGATTCGGGCACAGTTCTTTGCGAGCTGTTCGTCATCGGATCAGGATAAGCTTGTGCCCCATCGTCTACACTGGTTTCGCGACTCGGTGTGCAGCCCGAGACGTCGCCGGGCCCAGCGGGAAGCGGGGGAGGTGCCTCGGACGGTTCCGGGGGTGGACTGTGCTGACACCGTCTCCTGCCATGGACGATTAACCACCTCCGATCCCGCCCGGTCCGGGCACGATTGATCGTCTTTGAGGACCTCATCCGTCCGATCCTCGTTGGCCTCCGCCAGGCCCGGCGACTTTGTGGTCGCGCGGGAGACCTTGGGGCTCTCGGGGCCAGTGCCCGGGGGAGTGGCCGTCACTACATACGGAGTCAAACCCCGCGAGGGACTGTTCGGAGAACCCTCTCCCATCTTCGATGCCTCCGCCGACCGCATGTCGACACCGTCCGCCTCGGCCTCGTTCGTCTGGCCGGATAGGGTGATGGCGCCGGGACCGGCTGGACCTCATCCATATCGGCGTCGTTGTCGATCGCCAGCGGACTGCTACCAGAAGCACCGGCCAACTTCGGCTCCTCCTCCACACCCATGTCGAGCTCCTCGGCCACGGCGTCGTCGGGTTGCATGGAGAGCCTGATGGCCTTGGGAGCCACCGGCTCCTCGTCCATGTCAACGTCATTGTCGATGGTGGTGCGGATTGGCGGCACGCCCGGCAATGGCTCGGGATCAAACCTCGCCTCGACCCGCTGGGGATCCTGATGGCTACCAGATCCGGACGCGCTAGATGGGCCCCCAACACCATCCGACATACGGTCCCGTGGACCCAGTCTGGAACAGAATGGTGAGTTAGTCGCTACTGGTGATCGGGGAACACCTACCACCGACACCGAGGTGTGCGCACAAGTCGTCGAAGTCACGCCGGAGCTCATCGTACTTGTGTCGGAGCTCAACGTTCTCCTGTCGCAAGTTGTGGAGCTCCCGCGAGATGGCACTCGACGATTCCAGCACCACAAATTCCTCATGTTGCTCCAACGAACTCCCGGACCCAAATCCTAGGTGTTGTCAGCCGAGATCAAAAGCATCAAATGCAAGGGACTCACGATTTGGAGGTACACCGATGTAGGCCGGCACTACCCGCGGTCGCTCCCCTTGGGTTCCACTGTTTGATGGTCCAGCGGAATGACTCGGGGACCTCCTGCTCGGAAGATCAGCCTGGTCGAATTCTACTGTTACCTCCCTCTGCTTGCTCTTCGACCTTCCGCGCGTCTGCTTCACGGGCTCGGACACGATGCGGGGCCGCTTTGACGGGCGGCGGGTTATGCGCGTGCTTCTTCGGGAAGACGTGCTTGCGACGGACGCTGTGTCGGAGTCCGCCCCGCCATCAGGGTCAGTGTCGGGGGCACCGTCGCCACTGACGCCACGGACACAGATCGGGCTCGCTTCCGAGGGTTCGCCTTCACCGCCGACGGAGTGCGTGATCGTGAGCGGGACTTCCCGTCCTCCGTCTCATCTGGGACGTCCGCGTCGAAGGCGACACAGGGCTTATGCTTCCGGAAGCACTCGTCGCAAGTCGTAGCCGCCTTCCTGGGGTCACTCGATATCAGTGCATTGAATGGCACCGCTGGCACTTCGTGTCCTGCAAACACATTGAGATGAGTGGGCGATAACAGAGATACATTACCTACCATCACGCGAATCCAATTCTCGCGACGTTTGTTTTTCGAGCCCGCCCAATCAACGCCGCCAATTTCAACCGGGCGCGCTCGGCTTTGCAAATCTTCACGAGGGTGCGGTAATCGTCGACTTCGAGGGCGCTTTCGATGCGGTCCTCGAGGTCCATGCCTGGAGTCACATCCGGCTCGGATTCGGACGGTATCTCCGACACTGCCTTCTTGAGGATGGGCCGAACCTTGACACCACCTGCCGAACATCTTAATGATGAACGTTAGACATAGGGGACTTGCGACTTACTCTGTGGGGCCTGTTCGCCTTGATCTTCCGCGACCGCACTCTCAGCTCGCTGTTTTCCTTTCCCTTTGCTGGCCGCCATCGTCGTCTTCTTCGGCACAGCCGGTTCGGGCTCGTCGTCCTCTTCCTCTTCGGCAATACTGACCGCTCGCTTCTTTCCCTTCGCGTTGGTGGCGGCCATCGTGTGCTTCTTCGGCAAGGCTGGTTCCGGCTCGTTGTCAACTTCCACCTCGGGGACACTGACCACCCGCCTCTTTGGCTGCGGTCTGCTGTTTGGGGCCTTTTTCGCCTTCGGGACCACCTGCTGAGGCTCCCGGTCGTCGTCCGCATCGGAGTCGATGGTGATGGCCCGCTCCTTGCCCTTCCCTTTGATCGACGCGCTCGTCTTGGTGTTCTTCGCCGCACCGGCACCGTGGATGGCGGGTTTTGGACGGGTTTGCCGCCGTCTTCGCGGGCTTCGTGTGGGGACGAGGGAGGGGCAAGGTGGGCCTTGGGCTGATTTCCGGCTCGCCCGACTCATCGACCTCCATGTCGTCGCCATCGTGCTGCGGGAGGGCGAAAGCGACACCCGGGTGCGGGCGGGGAGCGGCGGGAATGGGCGGGACAAGCGACGCTCGCTGTCATCGGGAGGAAGCTCGTGGGACCCCGTAAACCAATCGTTTGCCGCTATTCTTGGGTCGTTCTGCTTGATCCGGGCAAACCGTCGATACAGGTCAATATCCGCCGGAGCTGCCATTTCCTCCATGGCGGATATCACCAACGGCGGCACGTACACCTCCCACTGGTTACCGTCCGCGATGACCGCGGCAGAGCTCGCCTCGGTCTGGCCGACCTGTGAGAACACGCGGACACCATGAATCACACGACAAACTCACCACCCATTTGTGAAGCTTCTTCCACTGTTGCAAGACCCGAAGGTGAGCATTGGCGCTATGGTTGAACAGACAGACACTCACTAATTTCTTGATTTCCTTTGTTTCGGCCGGTGCCGTACTCCGCCATCTTTGCACCACTCCGCGATTTTGCCCTCCCAGAAGGTCATCAGGCCTTTGAACTGGGCTTCCGTCACCATCTTCGGGCCGTCTTCGGTAGGACCGGGATGCTTGTTGACGCCATGATAAACAGCGGTGAGGGAAAGCGATTCAGCGGCGAGGACAGAGAGAAGAGCGGGAGATGCAGATGAAGTTCAAGAGCCACGCGTAAGCGCCGAGCGCCAGCAGCCGACGGTGGGAAGCAGCCACAAACACGTGGTCTGTGGCTGAGCCGCGCCGCGGGCCATCCGATCGATCTCACTGATGAGATCTGAACCAAGGTCTATCAATTACCACCACCATGTCGACCTCGGTGATCGCAAGAATGAAGAAAAGAGACGGTATGTACCAGTGCTACATGCACATGCGAGCTGCCACTAACGGCTCGGTGCGCAGGATCGTCTGGTTCACCCGTGCCAGCGGATGGGCACTCGGGCGATGCGGAGCAGTGTGCTCGCCCGGCGGAACAGCTCCAGGACCCGGACGTCACGGATTCGGTGAGTTTCTCTTGCCTATAGCTTAGGCACGGCACACTCATCGGGCGAACCTATTCAGGACGACAGCGATGGGGATGATGTGATAGGTGCGTCGCATGGTCATTGGTGCAGGTTGTGGAGCAAATACTGACTTGTAATATGTATTCTAGTGCCGTTTGTCATACCCACTAGGCCAGGACGATTGAGCCCAAGCGCGATGCGGACGCCATGGTGAGCAGGACCCACTAGACATAATTACTCGGGGCTGACAGCTAGGTACAGGACACAACCCCGGATGGTATACCAGTAAACAACCGGGTGGATACGGGGTCCGGGAAGGATGCTATGGTGATCTCTGAGGATGAACGGGCTGTGCCGTTGACTCCTCCTCGACAGTTTGTGATGCCCCAGCCCCCGGCGAACCGCCGGGCACAGACGATTCGAACCCGCGGCCGGAAGGTTTCGCCCATTCCCATTTCCAGCGACTCCGAACCCGACGGACAGTTCTAGGGCAGAGCAGGGTACCGAAAACCCGCCAGGGTACAGGGTAGGGGTACATCGCGGGTAAGGGTAGGGGTCTCATTTCATTGACCCGCATACCCGTACTGGTACCCGTGGGCACGAAGCGTCTGCGCGAGCTCGCGGCAGCCTCCGAGTGGCAAGGAACCTTATCATTTAACCTACATAGCACATAACTGTGCCACAAACACGAA